AGCACCTGTCCGCCGCCCAACTGGCCGCCGGGCCACCCCGAGATACCGTTCCCGTGGACCGAGATGTCCCTGGGGCTCATGTGGGTAAGCATCTCTCGCCTCGCCCCCCTCCAACTCGGCCCCGTGATAAAAAGAGAAGAAGAATTGCTGACGGGATTGCCGGTGTTAGTGCGGAGCTTCTGCGTACCTGTCATTCTTCTTTATTGACTGCCTAATGTCACGATGGTCAGTTCTCCCGAGAGAGGGGTCCCTCCTAGAACGAGAGAGGGCGGTGCTAACGCGAGCCAGGCTCATCAACTACACCCCGCAAGCGACAATCATCCGCCTCCTCACCATCAACTCCACCAACGCCTTCCTCACCGAGCGGATCCTGACCTTTTCCGGCGGCTTCGAGGACCCCAGGCTCCTCCTTCCGGGCTGGGTCACCATAGCCACGGTCAGTTAACCCCCCTCCCCTATCGAATTCTCTCTCTCTCGCCCGCCTTGTCCAATTTCCGTGTTCGGTCCACTTGCTGACTTCTCTCTCTCTCTCTCTCTCTCGCACGACCCTCACGATAGCTTACCACACCACCCAGCGGAGCATCAACATCCAAAAGGAGACGTCGACGTCCATCAATATCTTCTCCATCGCCAGCTTCATTAGTATGGTCTCTCTCCTCGCCCACCTCCACTACAACGGCTCCGACTACCCCCAGAAGCCCTTCGAGTCGCTCGCCCGGCTGATGTTCGAGCAGGCCCGCCGCCTCACCGGCGAGGCCGTACTGCCTCTGTATCCGCCTTCGCATAGCGAGTTATAGCGATTTGTCACCTTTTTCTTCTTCTTTTTCTTTTTTTCCTTTGGGCGTTTTTCTTTCTTTCTTTTCCAACACACATGCGAACTGAATGGGAAATGGCTCCTTCACGTGGTCCACCGGGGAGACAGAAAGAGGGGCCCAGGCCTAGAGAAAAGCGAGTGAGAGGGGGGGGGGGAGGAGAGACTTGGCTGCATTGTCTTTTTTTCAATTATAGAAACCCTGCTTTTTTAGAGAAACATAGATACCCACAATTGAGCCCTTCCGCCTTCACGTCTCCCCCTCCCCCTCCCCCTCCTTCGCTGACGCGCCCTGGCGGCCAAGTCAGCGGCATCGCGGCTGACGAAAGGCGACACACACACGCAGCCCGTTCAAAGTGGTTTAGACTTTCTACTTGGGGCTTGGGCTTTTTTCCAGCAGCGCCCTTCCCCCCTTCCCCACCTTCCAAGGCTGAAAATGGAGGACAGGACGGAAGAGAAGGTTTGCCAACGTGCGGATGATGCCGCGGGAAGCCGGCATGGCACCGACGAGTCAATGCGGTGTTTCGTCAGCTAGCCTCCCCCCCAAGAAAGTTATTGCGTTGTGATGTTCCAATCAGCCCGGTTGCGCAAATGTGTAGACTAGACTTGTCGTTGAATGTGGACCGTTGGCTTGGCGGGATTTGGGTTTCGGCCGTCCGCGGCTTCGAGAAGTCTTCTAACCGACAGACATTCTAAGAGCGAGCTGTGTGGCTTGGTCACCTAACCTACCCGGCCATCAGACATTTGCGTCGACAACATGCAGGCATGCAGGCAGTTACGCTATCACAGATAGAGACACGGCGGTCATGGAGGAACAAAGGGTGTGACCAAGATGTCAATTACGCGGACGAATATATCCCTATATCAGGTGGGCCGTCAAATCAATGTACGGCAAGCTCCCCGAGAGGCTCGATATCTGCCCATCTCATCATGCGTCGAAGCTGACGCAAGTCGCCCTAAACCTCCGACCGGTTAATCTCTTCCGTCGGTGGGAGGTATACCGTCCTACTACGTCGAATCGGGCGCCGGCACTGAGCGGCGCGGGAGGAGCGGGCTGCTTATGCCCTCTCCATCCTCAAGCCCGGACGTCAACCGCAGCCGGGGTGGCTGCGGTCGGTAGAAACGGCGGCGACCTGCGGCGGGCTTAGAAACCATGGACCTTGATGCCCTTGGTATCCAGCCCGAGACCCTCCTTCTTATTGACGAGGAACTCTTGCACCACCTTGCGCTGGTCACCCTGGAGCTGGATGACCTCGCCCATCTCGCTGTCAGCTACTATGGTGCCATTGCAAGCTGCAAAATAGTGTTAGCGATCGGACCGTCGTCAAGGTTGGGAACGGGCTCAGGCCGTACCAAACTGTTTCTTGATGACCTTGAGAATTTTCTTCTGGTCAAATTTCTTTGGAAGACCCTGAACTGTAGTCAGAGTCTTTCGGCCATTGCGCTCTGCAGGCAAGAACAAAGAGGTGTTAGCGTTTGTACTGATTAAGCGTTGTTGGGACTACGCGCATGGCGCACGGCTCGAGCCGGCTCGTGCGGCATTTGCCTGATTTGGGGAGCATGGTGGGAAAATGGGGGGGGGGGGGGGGGGGGGGGGAGAGAGGTGGTGACGAACGTTGGATCCGTATATGGATGTAGTTTTGAGACTGTTTGGTCTCTCCGGTATCTTCGTCGGCTTCGGCGAAGGGGTCTGTGAGTCCAAGGATGATCAGCATTCCGCATACTCGCGATGTGGCGGTCAGGGGTCAGAGGCGACGTGTCCCGGTCTCCGAGCGAGCAAATGGCCCAACAACGATATAGGACGTCGGCGTCTTCCCAGGATGAGCGGGGAAGTCAGACGGAGTTGGACGTACCGTAGGACTTGAGATTTTCAATTGACATAAACTCGTCTGTTCGGGGGTGACGTTGGGAAATGGGTTTGGTGATGGGGGACCGGAGGTTCAGCGACGGACGGCTTGTAAGAGCGGTCTCGCTGTGACGGGCGTTTGTTGGGATCTGAAGCGGGTGTACGAAGAAGACGAGGGGATAATGCGGATGCTTCTGCTGGAAGAGCCGAAGGGAGGTTCTGGTGTTGATATAGTAAGGGATGGTGGCGAAGTGTCGAAGTTGACGAAAGGGCTGCCGGACTGGTTTTGTAGTGCACTTCGGAAGATTTATGGGGGTGGGTTGGGTCTGCAGTTGGGAGAGGTGATGGACTCGGTCGGGCTCAGCTTTGGGGGGGATGCAGGGGGGGACAAAGGCACGAGGGGCAGAGCGCGAGCGTGGGCGCGGGCTCTTGCTGGCCCCCCTCCCCCCCTCTCTGACCGTATCTGTACCAAGGTACTTACGGGGTGAAGAGGTACGAGTACAAGGTCTTAGTGCCTACTCACCTACCCTAGCAGGTACTTGGGTACATGATGCACGTAGGTACCTCCCAGGCCAGTGGGCATGGATCGACCGACTGCTGACTAAGGCACAGGCTGGCTTTCTCTACACACCTACCGGTAGTACCGCCACTGCCACCACTGCCACACTCGACTCACCACGGCGGCCAGTGCCGGCCTGGCCGTCATGACTATTAGCTGCACGAGACGAGATGCAATGGGAACTCAGTTTCGGTTGCTCGTCGTCATCATCAATGGCTGGTTTACTGGAGAGAGGGAACCCGCGCTAGCCACTGCCACCTTCCCTCCTCACTCGTGGCCTCGGAAAGTTTCATTCTTCCCCTTTTCTTTCCGCAGTCTTCGTACAGTTCGTACAGGCGGTGCACCCATTTAGAGTCACGGTTCGCCTATACACCACATCCCCAAGCACACACACACCTCCCCCTATCCATCTATAGGAGTCACGTCAGCACGGCTCCCCCTCGTAGTTGTGGCTGGACTCGTCCCCCATGGTGGATATTACTTGCGGCTCTCCTTGCCTCCTTGCGGTTTGGTTGCATTTGGTTGCACGAGACAAGAACAATCAAAACAAAACAAAACAAAACAAAACAAACAATGTGATTCATAAACTATTTCGTATCTCGGTATCCCGCGCTACCCATTCCTTAGGTACCGTCTCCACCGGAGCGCCTCATTACCTCCGGCCACCTTTGGGCTGAGACATGACCAATCCATCATCTGACAGGAATCACACCGGGCAAATCGACTCATCAGATCAAGTATCGGCACAAGACATCCTTCCCGCCCGCATCCTCGGCCGATCAACTAGTCGCCACCTGCCACCAGCCGCTGGAAGCTGCCCCGCCCCGGTTCCGTATCCAGACCTCGATAGCCCTGCGGCTTTCCCCGGATGCGTCTCCACAATGCGCCACCCGAGTTGGCCGGCCTGTCCTTGTTCCCCGTCAACAGCGGGCGCTCGTGCGCCTCGACCAGGTTCCGTAGCCCGCTCTGTATTCGTCGATTTTCTCGTATTGCTGTCTATGAAATGCTTTGATTCCGTTGCTCGACACATGTTGTAGGTACCCCGGCTGTCGTCCACCATCAGTCCAGCTCAGGCACGGGCAAGTGGTCGACGAGCTTCAGATGCGTCAGGCCCAGCTTTGTTAGCGCCTCGACGGCGTTCCGGTCACGCAGCTCCTCGGTCTCCTTCTGCGATACCAGCACAAAGTCCTGCTTCAGCAACCAACTGCCCTCCTTGACCTTGTACTCCTCCGCCGTCGCCTTGTCTACCTTGTCCAGGTCCACCACGAGGCTCTTCTTGACGCCGAACACTGCATCCGATTTTTCGTACGGGTCTCCCCGGATGTAGAGTGCCCTAGTCCAAGTTGTCAGCCACAGGTCTGCTGTCTTATTCCACCCGAGGAAACATACGTGATCAAGTGATCCCAGCCCTCCTTTTCGAACATGAAGTGCAGGTGCGCCGGCCGCCAGCAGTGACGGCCCAGCAGCTTCAAGAGCTTCCCGACGGGCCCGTCGTGCGGGATTGGGTAGCTCACGGGCTTGATTCCTTGGAAGAAGAACCGGCCGTCCTTGTCTGAGATCATGACGCAACGCTCGCTCGCGTCCGTCCTCCCCTCGTGCTGCACGTCGTAGTGCCCGCTGCTGTCCGTCTCCCAGATGTCAATCTTGACGCCGGGGATGGGGTTGCCCTGCCGGTCCCTGATGGTGCACACCACGAGCAGCGGCTCGCCTTGGGGGTCTCCGGACATGTTCGCCCCGTTGGGCAGCGTCGGGGCGTCGTGCGTGTGAAAGGGGCCCAGGACCGAGCCCTCGGTCGAGTCGGGGGGCTTTGGGTGGTTGATGCTGTCGACCAGCAACGACAGGCCCAGGATGTCGGAGAGGAGGATGAATTCCTGGTCGGACAAAAGTCAGCGTCCTCTGACCTCTTTTCTCGGGGCATCATATGGCGACGGATTGTGCGTTTGTCGTGGAACTTACATGGCGCACGTCGCTGCTGATCTGCCCGCAGCCGACGAGGAAGTTGAGGGCAGCCATCCACTCATCGGTGCTCAGCCGCGTCTCCCTCGCAAAGTCGTGCAGGTGGGTGACCAGCCGCTCCATGAGGTACTTGAGGCGCGCATTGTCGCTCTGCGAGTTGATGCGGACCGTGTTGGGCGTGATGTTGTCGATTGTGAGATCCAGGAGTTCTGGGGTGTTGGCGGTGGCCATGTTTGCCGACGTTTACGGTTCCGAGTCGGGCCTGCTTGTTGATTCACTCGACAAGAACGGTCTCGAACTCGTCTGTTTTTGTAACTAGAGCTCGAGGTGTCACTGCTAGGTGTTTCCTCCTCTCCAAGGCGACCAGACCCTCTTTATGTAATGCTCTGTAATCACCGGCCTCCAAGTGGGTTTTGTTGGTGTCACTCGGGCCAGGAGACAGACGTACGATATGGCCGAACAAATGATACCCCGGCCGCAGAGGTGTCTGCTTCTCGTTCCAGGCGAGCTGCGGATTTACGGGACGGGCCTCTTAAATCCTCATGAATTGCAACGGCGACGTGGTACGCAAGCCAGCAACCACTCACTGTTCGGGCATCACGTTACCACAGGGCATTGGAATCGACGCCGCCTCGTTTGGTTACCCCTCAACCCCCTCCCTCTTGTGTCACAGCGGGGTTCGGTTTGTGGGGGGGTTTTAGCGTAACCCCGCGGAAACAATTAGGTAGGTACCCTAGGTTTGTAATGCACCTGCTTACCTGCCTACACAGGCACACAGGCAAAGGTAAGTAAGTCGGTAGTTGAAGGGGTGAAGGACGTGGTCCGAGCGCCTGGCGGGGACTTGCGAGGACGAGGGAATAGTCTTTTCTTCCCTTTTTTTTTTTTTTTTTTTTTTTTTTTTTTTTTTTTTTTTTTTATGTTTTCTTTCTTGTTTGTCGTCTGCTTCAAGCTTGTCAGCAGTCCTTCCGGAGTTGGGTCCGGTCTGGTCAGCGCTGTGACCTATTAAAACCAACGACACTTGCAGCCCCGCAGGCGGGGGGCTTGCTGCCGGACAGGTGATATCTCGTTCCACGGACCTCCTCGAGGGCATGAGGCCGGGACGTACTGTAGATGGCGATGGCGGCCAGTGCGTTTTTCGGAGCCCACGGCGAGGACTTGATGGACCGACTCATTTCTGACCCTCTAGCCATATACACGATGTAGACATCACTGCATCATCTGTCAACAAACAGAGGAAAGACAGCCAAACTGGATTCGGCTCCGTCTCCGTGGTGTGAGGGCCCACTTGGCACGACGGGAGGATCAGCCGCATCCGCATTGAACCGCTCGTGAACGGCCAGCCGGCTTGGATCCTGATGGAAGCACAACACAACCGACTAACAGGATAGACAGACTGACAGACAGACAGACAGACAGACAGACAGCCAATGAATACCCGTGTGGACCGTGTGGCACGTTCCGATTATACAAGCATGCTCCGTCGGAATGACTGCCGCGGCAGGTAGATTAAGACGTCCACCATCCGAGTCATGAAGAAGGGAAAAAAGGAGGGACATCTCCCACACAGCACGGACGGGCTGCAAAGGCACCCGCGGCAAAGCACGGGACTTTGACAACCTAATCGTTCGTTTTCTCCAGCCCGCTTGAATGATTCGTACCACCACCGATAACATACCAGGCACCGGGACCCTGCATGACTGCCCTCCAGCGTGACTGCTAAGGTTCGCGGACCCGAGTCTCCTCATCGTCGGGCACCTGCCGCAGCGGCCAGGACGACACGCAGGGAGTTCCCGCCTTCGGAGCTTTCTACTTCATGCGGAAGTTGACGATTTGTGCTACCGCGAGTGTCCAAGCAAGTAGTCTACCCTTCATTGGATTGATTAAGCTCTCTCTCTCTCTCTCTCTCTCTCTCTCTCTCTCTCTCTCTCTCTCTCTCTCTCTCTCTCTCTCTCCTCCTTCCTGCCATCTTGTTGCCTGCCGTTGCATCCCGTCCCCTACCTAGCGTACCCGCCGCCTGTTTCCCTTTCCCTCGACCTGCCCACCTCTGTGTGGGGCTGGGCTACCTACCTACCTGCCTACCTACCTACCTACCTACCTACCTACCTACCTACCTACCTACCTACCTACCTACCTACCTACCCGACTACTACCTAACTGCCTATTGCAACCTTCTCCCACATTTCCACTTCATCCATGTTGCATCTTGACCTTTGCAACCAAACCCAGCACGAAGAGATGGCTGCCGCTGCCCCACCCTTGGTATGTTTTGTTGGCCGACCTCGAGTCGCCCTGCTTTCTTTTTTTTGCTCAGTCTCAGCTGACGGTCATTAGGAGCCCGACACTTTTGATTCCGACTCTGCAATCTCGGCGGTAAGTTAGCCTCCCAGCGGGCCAACTCGCACTTGCGCGTCAGTGTTTCATGTCGGCTATGTCTTCCGGGTGTAACGCCAACGTTGACCATTTGGGCTCGCAGGTCGCCAACATCAGTACCGATTCGCCTACGCCAAGCGTCGTGACCTTCGAGGAGGAAAATGGCAGGACTTACCATTCCATGAGCTCCGGGAGTGAGTCGCAAAACTCCTCCCCACACCCCCTTGCTGTAGTGTAAATCACAGCTAACAAGCATGCGCAGAGTACCCATTTCCCAACGACATTATTGAACAGGAGCGCCTCGGTGAGTGATCCAACCGCGGGCGCCTGCAGAGCTGGGACTGACCGTCTTGGCATATGGCAACAGCGCTTCAGCATCAGATCTGGGACGTCACCCTGAATCACAAGCTCTGCCTGTGCCCGAAGAACTATGGCAGGGCCAAGAACGTGCTCGACGCTGGCACCGGCACCGGACTCTGGGCGATTGACTATGGTGAGTATCACGACAACTTCTCGAGACATGCTGATTGACATTCATTGTAGCCGACGCACACCCCGAAGCCAAGGTTGTCGCAGCATCTCCGCTCATCAGCACCCACTGACACCTTTGCGAACAGGTCACCGGCGTTGACCTGAGCAGCATACAGCCGAAATGGTGGCGTCCTCCTAGCGCATGATGCCAACTCCGTTGCTAACTCGCATTACAAAGGATACCCCCAAACCTGAGCTGGGAAATGGACGATCTCGAGATGGAATGGACGTGGCCCCAGCGATTCGATTTCATCTTTGCTCGAATGTTAGTCGGGAGTCTCTGCGACTATCAAGACTTCGTGAACAAGGCCTTCGAGTACGAAAACTTCCTTCCTCCCCACGTCCTTCCTTGCGCCTGGCTGACTTGTGCGGCCAGTAACCTCGAACCGGGCGGCTATCTTGAGATGCAAGACATTTGTCTACCCTACCGCTGCGACGATGGCACTTTGACTAATGACAACCCGATCAAAAGACTGTCCGACGTTTTCACTACGGCAGGCAAGGTGTCGGGACGCCGCATGGATCTGGCCTGGACCTACGCTACCCTCATGCGCAATGCTGGCTTCGTCGACGTGGTGGAGACGCAGTACAAATGGCCCATCAACGGCTGGCCTCGCGATCCCCATTATAAGACCCTAGGGGTTCTGACGCAGCACAATCTGGACCACGGTTTGGAGGGGCTAACGCTCGGTTTGACTACGAGAAACCTGGGGTGGACCAGACAGGAGACGCTCCTGTTCTGCTCCGAAGTGAGGAAGGCGCTGAAAAGCCACAGTGCCCATGCTTACGCTCCCATGTAAGTTTGATCTCGAAGGCGAGGAGGCGCTGTGACATAACGCTCACTCTCCACAGACACGTCATTTATGGGAGGAAGCCGGAAGAGACGGCCCAAGACGACCAAGATGGCCAAGTCCATGTCGGCATGCCACCAGATATCCATTAGATGAGTCGAGGCATGGGCGGATATGGATATGGGTTGGGTTGGTGGCACAACATCTTCCAGGCGTTTCGGTCAGAGACAATAACCATGGGGTTTGGTTTGTCATGTAAACAAGTGCTGCATGTGCTATATTATGGAACGGATGGATGGTAGAAGGGGTTAGACAAAATGGAAAAAGAAAAAAAGAAAATGGGACCATTGTTGGGCCGTTGGCTACCGCCAACACTGCATGTAGGAAGAACCCGCCATCAAAAACCGCGAAACCTCGACTCAGTTACCAACCTAGTTCCGAAAAGGCTTTACATAACTGACGACTGCCACAAGAAATCCCGCTCAGCGTGACGGCGGAGGCTGTGACACGACTTACATGCACGACAAACGGCATCATCGCCACGTTGGACAGACCACAGCTAGACATATAGTGTGTGTGTGTGTGTGTGTGTGTGTGTGTGTGTGTGTGTGTGATCATGATCACAAAACGCGCAGCGCACCACGACTCCCACAATTCATGAAGACATCCACTTCCATGTTCGCTACTCTAATAGCTAGCCGAAACATTCACACACACTTTTCCCCGGCGAACCGCGGTGTGCTATGGCATTGAGGCGTGTCCGCCAGTCCATCCCACTCACACAGACGTGGTCCAGGTGAAAAAACAGACATGAGAGCAAATTTTGGGAATCCCCGTTCCCGAGTTAGGGAACAGGCGGTCCCCTAAAAAGCAAAGCAAGGTGTGTTGTCATTAGCAAAGGCATCTCCGGGCGTGTCATCAGGGACGCTGCCGCTGCGTTTTCCTCCCCTTCTGAACGCCAAGAAGGTTAGGCTGCATGGGCCTTCCCGTCTTTGAGCTTCGGGAGATACGCGCCTCCTGTCTTTGGCTCAGCCTTCTCGTGCGGGCGGAAGATTGGGCCAAGGCCTCCCCAGGGGTAGGCCGTGTTGGAAGGCAGCGGGGCGTCGGTGATGGTGGTGGTGGGCGTGCCGAAGACAAAGGTGCTCTCGGACGGAAACCCGTCGTCCCCTCCGCCAGGGTCACCCGACCGCGTCGTCGTCGATGTGATGAAAGTGGTGGCACGGTCAAGAGAGGAAGATGTTCCTGTGAGTACTTAGGATGGTTGTCAAAAAATACGAACAATTGACTTACGGTTGGTTAAGACCAGAGAGGTCCACGTGCTTTTGAACCCAGCTGCCGAGGTAGTCGAAGTGAGGTTCTGCCACTTTGATGTGCACAAAGTTCTGGACAATGCAACTGTAGTGTTTGTAGACAATGGGGGGTAAGCCACTGTGGGATTGGCGCTTGCGGTGGCAGTGGTGACAAGAACACTTCGAGTGACAACTTGAGTGACAGTGCCGTTGGTGACTGTGACAGTGTGACAGGGCGCGGAGGTACCAGCTGGAAAGCTCCTAGAGTTGGTAATGGCTGGCTCGCCTGAGACGGTGATCGACGCAAATGGCGATGTGCGCGAACTGTTGCTGGATGAGGAAAATATGGCCGTAGAAATAGAAGTTCTCAAGGAAGTGGACAATAGTGTGGTAACAGAAGAGGGCTGAGCAGCCACAGATGAGTTCGAAGGTGGAGGCGTAGGTACAGGCAGTATAGACAAAGAAGAAAATGCGGTTCCTGATATGCTCCAGGTTAGATGAGTTGTCGACACTGCGCCGGAGATGGGGGTCGAATTGAGGAAAGGAGGCGATGAGAAGGGAGAGCTCGACGCCGACCCCGAGATGCCCGAAGAGGACACACTTGTCACGATCTCGGCGACGCTGCTATTTGCTCTGGTTGATATCAAAGTAGACATAAGAGGACCTGATATGGTCCCAGAAATCCAAGTGATTGTAACATTGCCAGTCTGACCTGGAATCACAGTGTTGTTTCCTGTTGGAAATGGGGGTGGTGGTGTTACAATAGAACCGCTTGAGGTTTCTGCAGGCTCACTGGTTTGGAACAAAGTTCCCGAAGCAGTGTTTGATACCTCGGTGCCACCTGCTGTTGGACCAGATAACACGGTGGAGTTCGTAGTTGGGTAGGGCGGTAACGTCGGCGAAATAGGCGTACCAGTGACGCTGCCAGTCAACGTGGCGGGCACACCTGTCAGTGTCGAGATCAGGGTGATGACGCTACCGGAAACGGTGACAGTCGCAGGGCGTGTTGCTACAAGAGACGACGTCGAGTTCGCGGTTGGTAAAGGAGGCGAGTCGGTTGATGTGACGGTCATATCAGTGCTAACTGTCGTGACACCAGTGGAGAGGAGTATACTTGAAGTTCTGACCCATGTAGGACCAGATATCAGGGTCGAATTACCAGTAGGTAAGGGTGGCACCAGGGTCAGGGGAGGTCCGGTGGACGTCAGGGACGAAGTACCGATTTCAGTTGTCGGCAGAACCGTGCTGTTGGTACTCGATGGCGGCCTTACAGTGGTGTTTACCTGCGATGTCCAGGTAGCGTTCGGTGGCCACAGGGTAATCGTTGCACCTCCACTCACGGTGATGAGAGACACGGTCAAGGTACCAGTTAGCGGATGGGAGAAGGTCGCATTGTTCCAAGGGAATGAAGCAACCAGGGAACTGCTGAACACTGTTGCAGTGACCGTGGATGAGTTGAGCACAGGAATCGAAACGGTTCCGGTAATGGAGGCTACTGTGGAGTTAAGTGTAGCCCAAGGCGGTAGATTAGAGCTGGAAATCGAAGAGTGAGCACCTGAGGCGACAGTACTTGTCGACAAGGGAATTGATATGGTGCCTGTTGCCCAGGTCAAGGTCGTGGAGTTGGAGACCGGCCAAGGGGGAAGACTGGCGGAACTTCGCGTTACGGTGGACACCCTTACCGAAGTTGCTGGGTCACTTCCGTGACTGGTGACTGTCCAAGTAGCATTGGTACTTGTAGTCCATGTTGAGTTGGGCAGCTGTGGAGAAGGAGGCCAGGCGACGGAAGTGCTTGTGAGCGATGGATTCCGAGTGTTGTTCCATGTTGATGTAACAACTACTGTGCTCCCTGTCAACGAACGCAAGGTATTACTTGTAGATGTCGTTATCAGAGTTGCATTCCAGGGAGCTGTAGGACTCGCGCTGCTGAAGATAGGGGGCGCTGGACGCCCAATCAAGGAAGTGACGGTTGACGTAGGATAAGCGACTGCACCGCTAGAGGTGTTGACTGCTGAGGAAGAAGACCCGGTCACGGTTGGCGCCTCGCTAACAGAACCAACGGTCCCGGAGGGCCACAATGTGGAATTGACAGGAAAAGGAGGCACATAAGTAACGGCAATGCTCGTTCGAATAATGAGTCCTGTACCTGAGATGATGGAAGTCGACGTTGAGGGATCGGATGTTCCGGGAGAAGCGAGTGTACTGGTTATATTTCCAGTACTCAGCGAGGAGGTTGGAAACGAAGTACTTGGCAAGGAAGAACCTGTTACCATAATGGGGCTCGAGATTCTGGTCACCGTCAGGTTGTAACTGGTTGAGTTTGGAGCGGGCCAGGACATTGTGCCTCCTGTTCCTAGGATGGTTGAAAAATATGCGCTCGATGTGACACTGGTAGTTGTGTTTGACGTTGACCATGGCGAGCTCGATGTTTTGGTCAGATATGAGGTGGCAGGTCCTGATTCCAATATCGTCGTTACAAATATTGTCCCCTCATGCGTAACAATGACAGTTACGTTGGGCAACGGAAACGGCACAGTCGTCTGGGAAGACGAGACCATTGGTGAAGACATTACGGAAGACACCGAAATACTTGTCAAAGTGAAAGATGGTACGCCTGACGTATTCCAGGTCGCCGTTGAAATCGTGGTGGAGTTCACGGGGAGGGTAGGGAAGCTGGTCTGAAGACTACTTGGCGCAGTTATAGTGATAGTGCCGTTAGTTGGGGATGGCATTGGACGGTCTGAAACCTCAGAGGATATAGACGTAGCGTTTGTAATGCTACTCCATACTCTTTGTGAAGACTGCGCCGTGGTTGATGAGTTCGTGAACGCTCGCTGTGTGCTTGAAGCACTTGAAGCCTGCGATTCTGTGAGTGTAGTGAGAGGCACACTGGTGGCGGGTGTCGTCCGACTGTCAGTTGCCGTGACATTTATCCATATGGATGAAATGACTGTTGTAATCACAGATGTTGCTGAGTCTGTGTTCGTGGTTAATATTACAGTACTGTCGTTTGACTTAGGAGAGCTGGATGGTTCCGGTGCTGGAAAAGACAGGCTGTTTGAGGACAAAGTCAGCGTCAAATTTCTACTTGGGGCAGCAGTTGCGGTTTTCGAAACAGTGGAAGTGGTATTGAGCGCGGTGACGGCTCGAGTTGATTGGTTTAGTGATCCGGTGAAACTACTCAACGTCGCTGGTGTTTCTGTTGTACCTGAAAACGTGCCAGAAGCTGTCTGGGTGGATTGAATTGGCGCGGTCAGCATGGTTGAGCTCCACGTTGGCCATGGGGCTTCCACGGGTTGCGTCAATGTTGCAGAGTTACTGGTCGAGGCCGAGTCTGGTTTAGAGAAGGTCATGGTTGACGAAACAATGGCAGTGGAACCGGAGAGTGTGAAAGACGGTATCATGGAAGAAATCGAAGTGGTTGAATGTGACCAGATGGTACTATCTGATAATCCTGGCGATGGGGTATAGGGAACATCCGTATCAGTCACGGAAGCAAGGGTGCCCGTTATATCATCCAAACTGGATGTGAACGGGCCTGTTGTGAAGGAAGTCGTGTAGCTGAAGCTTTCCGAAATAGCAGTCGAAGCTGAACGGGTTGCAATGGCCGAGGTAGGCAGAAAGGTGAAAACACTGTCACGAAGAGTCACAGTTGCGCTGGCAGAGACGATTGAACCGAATGAAGCGGATCCAGAGACACCAGAAGTGCCGGTGACGCTAGCAACCGAGCTGAGTTCAGTGTAAGATACTGCATGCTGTTAGTTCCGGCGTATCAATCAAGGGACCGACCAACTCACCATTACTGCTGGAGGCAAGAGAAGTCCATGTTGAAGACGACGACAATTTGGTATAGGTGGTCGGGGGAGGTGGGGCAGGATACGAGTACCCATAGTCGTAGCTGACGAAGCCGTCAGAATCCTGTGGGCTTCTCGCGTCATGCCCGACCTTGATGGAAGCAGAGACGCGCTGGATTCCGGCTTGCCTTCCAGGCTTTCCAGCTTTCCCATCAGCTGCAACAGCCTTGTTGGTTGATGACAGCGCGACGACCGACACGACGGTGACGGCGAGAGTCGAGATCCGCATCCCCGCAAGCTTGGTGCAGGGAAGGTCCGACAAAAGAAAATCAGTCTACGTGACAGAAAAAGTTGGTGAGTAGCCGGCCTTGGCCTGTTGCTTGTCTCAATGGTCAGTGCGATTGGAGAAGAAGATCGTCGTAAAGGTTGTGACGGGGACTTCGAAATGAATGAATCGATGTCTTTTCTTCAAAGATAAAACGAAAGTGGACCTGAACACCTGAGATCAAATGATCAAAGGGTAGTTTAAAGAGAAAAAGGAACAGAAGAATGATGAAGAGAAGGGAGAAGAAAAAAGGTAGACGGAGGTGGGAGAAGGAGAACGAAGATTTTGTGCGCAAGGGTTAAGAGCAAGAGGAAGGAGCAGATATAGAAAGTAGCGCTCGCTCAATTGGCATTTGTGTAAAGGCAGGAGTACAGGAAAGTGCCTTTGATGGCTCCTTCCTTCATTTCCTTCCTGAGGAAACGCCGTGCTATCGTTCTGCCCACGGATTTCCGGTTTGGTAGCACATCTGAGGTAGATCCTCTCCTGACAAGAACAACTGTCCCGCCTTTCCAGGTACCTATGTTTCCACTTGTAAGTCGCAACATTCAGGAAGTACCAGGTTTTCTTAGGTAGATGGAATGTCGAGTTGGCCCAGTTTCCTCCTCGAGTATCAGAGGCAGACGCAAGCCGGGCCAGTCAGTGTGCGTCTTGGGACTAAGTATTTGATGTCGATGGTGGTGATCGTAAATCTCTACGGTAGTAGCTGGCTTTTCAACGAACAAGACAGTCATATCGTCTCCATGACGTGCCATAGGTTCATAGCACTTGATTCCTTTCCGAATCTTTTGGCCTCAAACCCAACATCACGTTCTATGCGCCTTGATCGCGACTGACGGGTCTCACAATCCCCACCGAGTAGCGGGGGGCCCCTACTACAGGAGAAGAGACGATCTGCGAAAGGTCATCAGTCACAACAGGTTCTACTGTGCGACAAAGATCTCGCAGCATCGTGCCCGCTCAACATGTCCCTGGGCGAGGTTTTCCATCAGTAGTCACAGATAGAACGCATCGTAACGTTTGCTCGGAAATTACCATCCACAACGTAACATGCTTACAGGCACAGAACGGGACGTTATCCTACAGCGTCGCACTCGCGGAAGTACATTGTGAACATGAGAGTTATCCAGCCCAGCTGCCTAATGATTCGGTTGAGCTTTCCGACTTAATACATTAGGGGCTTGCCTCGAGCCTTTGGAGCGTCGTCACCAGAAGAGCCTTCCGGAATCATACCAAGACATCGAGTGACCCTTGATAGAACACCATGCAGATACCCGTGTGCGTCGAAACAAGATTGCCTGTTCCTGGAATGTACGTCACACAGTACTGTGATCTGCTCAATGTTGATGGATTCGAATTGTCTTGTCCCACGCCCTGGGTCGTGTCTGGCGTAGATGAACCTCGCTTGGATAACCACACTAACTACTTTGATACAGCACGCGTCAGCTCTGGCGTCTATGCGGATCAGCAAGCATCTCCCGACGATAAAGAGTTGACTGCTTAGTTGGCCCAGCATGAAGCACAGCAGACAAGGTGATGCCACCGCGGACATTGAGGCAAGACGTGACGGTCAAAATTCAGTGCTTCAAAGGTAATCCATGTTTAATTATCTTTGGCTAGTAATAGTAGAGTTACATTATGGGATTCTCATGTAACTCCGGTAAAAGGAAACTCTCCCCCTGGACCCCTCCAGTCACATCTCGATCCACATAGTGAATGGCCATACCATTCGCAATGTCCTACAATTATCGAGCAGTCTTAGTTTCCTTTTCATCAGATTCCGCGGCAACATGACACAGACCCGATACCGCTGTCGGGATGTAGTGGTACCGGCTTTCGATGAGAAGAGGGGTCGATACATCTCAATGCCAGGTGGCTCGGTCTGGAGGCGGATAGACTCGGCTCCGCGCTGTTGTGTGCCGTCGTTTATTCGGCTTTCTTGGCCGTCTCACGTAGCGTCGGGGCTGTTCCGTCAGTCATGGACGTGTCTTTGTCCTCAATGTCGGCAGCCCACAAGGCAGCACCAACTATGGAAAAACGTTAGTTGTTATTTTGGGTTTAAAATCTGCCACACGTACCAGCGTTTGTGAAGGTAAAGATGACGCTGGCAAAAGGAACCATCTCGAGGGCAGTCGCAACCAGACCGAACCTACGATAAGAGTCAGTTGCAGGCACAGAACAAACGCAGGGGTGGAGCTTAACGTACGCGGTGTAGGGTCCAGAGTGCTTCTGGAGCCAGTCCTTTCTTCTCGAGGACGACCAGTTCTTCAGTTGAAAATACTAGATTGATGGTGAGACGGATATCGGTATGTCGTTTGGAATCAGGAGACATACGCGTCCATGAACGGCTTGGCCTCGACTACGAGCTGTTACAAAGTTAGTGTCGACTATAGTACGCGCATCTTGCATAACTTACCCTGCAGAGCGATGAAGATTACGGTTCCCACGACGGGAATAAAGTTCAAGGGGAGATAGATAAGGTATCGAATCAGAGCCTTGGGGCTGTACTTCTCGAAGGGGTTCTTGAGAACTTTTCCTAGCTTCTGCATGGGGTCAGATCCTGAGCCAACCTGCCTGCCTTCCCTGACAATGCCGTCCTCGCCTCTGAGAAGGAGAGTGCCGTCAAAGGTGTCCAGAATGGCTTCTTGGAGTAAATAGGATCTGGATACGAAGTTGATGATGGCGGAACTCTCGCTCAGGATCAACAGAACGGTGGTGAAGACGGCCAGCGGGCCATTGACGAAGACTAGTATAGCAAGCTGTGGGACGTAGGTGAAGACGAACATGCCGGTGACGACACCGGCTGACAGCAGCAGGTAGGACCCGATGCGCGAAAGAAGGGGCTTCCAGAGCGTTTGGTGGGTTGCGAAATAGACGATACCCTTGATTGGGTACAGGTAGGCCTTGCTCTTTGCAGCATCGGTGACCAGGATTCTCGCTTTGTCGTAGTCCTCCGCCCTGTTGCACCGCGGTCAGCTCAAGTCGCAAAAGGGCAGCAGCATGGGGTGCGAGCGAGCACGTACAGGACTTCCTGGGCCTTGGCGTGGACGGAATCGACGACCCTATTTCTGGCTCCGGGTCGAGAGGACTGTCCCTCGGAAACCGTTCGCTCGTCAGACATTGTGGGTGGTGGCTCGTGGAGGCTTCGTCCAGGGGAAATGGATGTGAGTTTCACGACGTGCAGAATCGCGAGATGGGATGATGAAGAAGAAGAGGGAAGAGCTGAGGAGTGGGCGACGGCGTGGCTTGCTCAAGGCCGGCGCTTGCCTATTTATTCGGCGCCAATGATCGTGATCTGACACTTGCGTACTTGCTGAAGGCAAGCTACCGTACGTACCTAGGTAGCTAAAGCTCCCTGGCATGCTCTAGTGATGACTGTATGACGTAGGAATGTGGCTGGAGCTTGGGGAGGGGCGGTTCTTGGCGCCTGCATGTGATGTGGCCGGAGCTCGGACCAGCAAGCTTACCGAAAAAGGAACCTGCCATCGCTCATCAAGAATACCGGTACCTAAATGTATTCGTACCAGATAGGTTAAGGTCGGTTGCTGACGCCAAATAGGTATACTGAGGACCAGTCCAGTCGCTATTTTGTTCTGTTCAAGTTTGACTCGTCCTTTGATGCAGCGAGTGAAACAATTCTCTTCTTCCAATGCAAGGCGAGGATCCCGTTTGCAGGCCGACTGTATAGCTACGGCTTAGGGATCGCCTGGCCACATACATACATATACACGTGCCTTTTGCACAGCAGGCCAACCAAAAGCCTCGTCCGATACCCTGTCAAGTGTACGACCGCAGACCAGCATGTAGTAATCGGCATCACATCATGATGAAAACTTTTCTGAGCCACACTTACATCGCTGCACCCATGTGTGCGAACACTTGTGCCGTATAACGAGGTTCTTTGAAATGGAAACAAGTGATACATCATTTCTAGCCGACCATGAATGACTCCTGCGGTGGGTTCAAAACAAAAAGAAAACCTGGTATCGCGAGATCTCAGTCCCTGAGGTAGTGTTCGGAATCAAAGCCTTTTGCTATTGTTTAGGAGGGAAAGTGTTATTATTGTTACAATGCTTCTTACAATCATTGAGAGGGGTGGGGATTTCTTCGATTAGACGTCGCTGCATGCGTGATCCGGATGCAGGGAACACAATTGAGGGGGTTTAGACACCAAAGCGAAACTCCCTGAACTTCTTCTGGTAGTAAAACGTCGACAGCGCGCCGGCGACACTAAGACCGATGGCCGGGCGTGACTTGGCCTGCGTTGCAATCATCCTCTGGGCGCCGGCTCCCAGCAGGAGGACGCTGCTACCCAACGCCAGCTCGGCACCATAGTCCTTGTTCTTCTTCAGAAGGTATCCTACGAGAGTCAGTCAGCGGGAGATTCTGGGGGCGCGCAGCGTGGATCTACGCGGCAACGTGGGACGGGAGAGCCGGACCTGCGCACGCAAAGCTGGCGCCGAGAGTCAGTCCAGCAATGAGCGAAGGCTTGGAACGCGTGCGGTAGAAGCCGAAGGTGCCGCCGCCAGCCACTATTGTCGAAGCACCGGGCGAAAGGTAAGCATGGGCACGATGTAAGATGGGCGGTTTCGGTGCATTGAGACTTACACAGGCCTGCCAACGTGAATGCCGGATGCTCAGCCATGTTTTCTACGAAGTACCTATGTAATACTGACCGTCGGAATGAATACGAGGGCGACTGGAGTGGTGAGCGCGTCGAAGTTAATCTTGGTTAGTCTACGGAGTAATACAATCCGTACTCCGTACGGATACACTACCTAGCAATTAAGCGAGATGAGTCGTGGTCCAAGTGGGGCCGCACCTGATCGGGCGGGGCCTTAACTTCCTAGAGTCTGGCACTACTGTCCACGTGATTTGCTTCGGCAGTGAATATCACCATGGCCATGGAGGATCCTATTCAGGTATCACACTACCCTGTTTTGACTTCGCAGCCGGCAATTAAAGTTCGATCTCAGTTTTTAGAGGTTGAGAACGTCTTTTTGAGATACTAAGGCGCTATGAACCCAACGCTCGCTGGCTGGCTGTCTTTGCCTGCCTCATCCTGTCGTCCATGATCTCACCCAAAGCAGTCACAGTGTAAGAGCAGCTTCTCCTAACAAGTTTACTTTCTAGAAGAATAGTGTATTTAATGATGGAGTCGCCGGATAAGCTTTACTCGTACAGCCTTCCTTACCTGTACTTGTATTGTAGTACACGCCTATAAACCTTATCGGCTGATCAATAATCGACAAAGGCTGCTGGTTCGCCGATCGTCATCACATCGCATTAACCGTGAACGCCCGCTGTCAAGACCCCAAACATAAGAGTACAGTCCACATCCGTCACTTGCGAGGTCTACCAAGATACCCCGAACTCAAACTATGTGCACTTGGAACGTGTAAAAAGGGCCGTAAGAATGACCTACTTTATCAACAAGAATGGAGAGCATACGGGCGGCCATGGGCGTGATTTCTAATTCTCAGGACTGCCTTTGCATGGCCACAAAAGGTGCCTGGAGGTCATCTTCCTGCTGCTACGGCTCATACTGACTTTTTTTTAGCGCAAACCAACATGCCTAGGCTTGATCCACTCGGAACTCTTAACCTAATCTGAATACTATTACCATTGCATTTCATTAGGACCGGGAGATAGTTTTGGAAAGGGGTGTCACGTTCTTAGACCATGCCGTTTTCCGGGAGCCGAAAAGACTTTTCTTCGCTCGGTGGAATGTTATATACTCACTTGACGGCCTTGTAGAGTGTATATTACAAGGACCGCCTTGTACCAGTACCTCAGTATAATACAGTAATACCTAGGTTTGCGTCCATTAACGTTGCATCTTCCCTCTCTCATGCCACTACGGACTAGATACCACCGAATCTTACCGTAAGACCTTTTCAAAAACTAAAAGTGTTAGAGGTAGAGGCGCTAGAGTTTATACACTGCAAACTTTAATAATTAGAAAGACGACGTGAATCATTTATAGGCTTTACCCCACACTATGACTCCTCCGTAGGGACATTATAGGATTACTTGGCAACATTGGACAGTTACTAGATTTGCGTTCAAAAGTTAGCCATCATTTCTAACTGTCAAATAACTAATTAAATAGCTGATCTGCACGTGATAGATTTTGTCTCAGTCAAGCAGTATGACTTGACTCTTATATCCCATTGAGTGCCAAGTGACCTCACATAACCCAAAAGTGGGTCTCTACAAGTAATTACTGATAGCTATTGGACAGTTAGCCTGGATCGTGGTACTCTTATTGGTCAGAGGATATGTAAGGTCACCTGGCACTCAATGGGATACTATACGTTGGTAATGTGATGATGCGATTCATACCATGACCGTATATCACCCAATCATTCAGCACACGTATAATACTGGGTACGGACTGAATACTTGGTTCCCAGTTATTCTAGGGGAGAGCCAATGTACGCCTGGACTAAACTGAACACAAAAGAGTATTATACAGAGTATATCTGTTTGTATTACAACCAAATTTTGTACCTAGGTTCAATTATAGAAATGTACTATTTATTTTACCCTTTACCTTATGTGCTTGTGTAATACCACTTTTAATAATATACTAAGTAAATTTGATTGCTCTACCTTAGAGAATACAGAGCGACCTAGAAAATATGCTCTAGATGTAAGAATTGCGCGAATCTTTTCAAGATAATACCACTCTAGACATTGTTATTCTGATATAATGACGTGAACAGAGTGCTCTTCCTTAGTCAAAACAGATGAAGGGCCAGAATGTGTTAATGGTGTTGAAAGACCCCGGTACCCCGATAGGTCGTTAGGAATGAGCAAGAGGGCTGCCCTAAGTTCAGGGAACACACGCGACATCACACTGCTGGAACAAAAAAATACTTTTGAGCGTGCTATAATCAGCACGAGTAGCATTGCGTACGCGCCAACGGGCCATGATTGGCTACGATCGTGTTGGCTGTGCAGCGCAGTCCTTGTCCGATAGCCCTCGTGTCAATGCAATAGCCATCATCGACAGCCCGCTGATGAACATCAAAAAGCAGGTTAAGCGCCACAGAAGCTCGCATTGGCTGATGGCAAAGAACTTCGGCCACTTCCTCGCTGTTGTAAGAGGCTCTCCGACTTCAGATGACGATTCCACGTCATTGTCATGTTGCACTCGAGAGTAGCCTTCCAAGCTCTTCATAATGAGTTAAGACTGAGAGCGTAGATAGGTCGAGGTTTCGGTAAAATGGTAGACGAAGCAAAAGAGGTCGAGATGAAGCAGCTTCAGAAAGAGACGTTCGACTGGCCAACAGAATGAATCATTATTGATAGGAAAGATACAAAGACGAAGACGCAGTATCAGGTCGTCTGGGTCCTCTGATAGACAAAGCTGTGAGAAAGATTGTGGGAACGTTCAAGACCCCGAAAGCAAACGGGCTTATCGGCTGTCTTGGAGCCAAGCGCTTCCAAATCTATTACCTTGGAACTTGTGTTGCTTGGCAATGCCGTTGGACCGACCATGTTTCAATGGGCGGTTGCGATATCAACACTGTGCCGCGACAGCACGCATTTGTAGGAGACCTAGGTACATTGTAATAACCTGCCAGTTTGACATTTCTGCCAGCATCAAGTCCCCTGACGGTGGATCAGCTTCTAAATGCACGAATAGGAGGTTTTATATAATTATTTCTCTCATCACCTCGTCTGATCACTCGACGGGCGGCCATGGTTGAGAGCTGAGGGACCGGGAGAGTTGAACCTTCCGTCTATGGACTGCAGATCAGATGATTCTGGGATGTAACGGTAATGGCCCCGGACCGACCGTTGCATTAGGTAATTTATCTCAGAAACGTACCGTACCTTCTCCGTGCTGACTTGTGCCGCCCCAAGCTCGAGGGCTGCAACGCACTGCGCGCCGGCCAAGCTCTCCTCGTCAAAACCGAGACGAAATTTCCCCCGTTCTGCGTCCGCTAGACCCACGCATACATTCAAGCAGTCCGCGAGACGACTTGTGCCGTGAGGATGGGTTTCTCGGATTGCATCGACGACGATTCAATAGGACCGGACGTTCAAGGCTGTCGGGACGACTTCGACTTCACACTGGCCTTCGAACAAATCTTCTTGTCCATACTACCGTCCGTCATCTTCATCGCCCTTTCCCTGCCAAGATGCATCTCGCTGTTTCGCAAGCCCCGTCTTGTACGGGGTACTCTCTTGAAAGTCTTCAAAATCGTACGTCCGCAATCAACTGATGTCGCAAAGCGGGAATCTCCCCCGTAAACGCTACATCGCTAACAGTCACCTGCCCGTCAGACCGCTTTCGCCATTTACGCCGTCCTTACGCTGGTCAATCTCACTCTCAGCGTCGTTGAACCAGCCAAGGTCACGGCCCTCTTCGTCGCCTCGTCCGCTCTCCGCTTCACGGCAGCGATATGCATGTCGGCGACAAGCTACTGGGAACATTCCCGCTCGCCACGGCCTTCCGTACTGTTGAACGCTTTCCTCTTCCTCTCAACACTCTTCGACGCCACTCAGGCGCGCTCCTTGTGGCTGTCTGCATCCACAGATCACGAACTTGCCTTTGCCTGCGTGTTTTTGGCCGCCACTGCCTGCAAGGCTTCTCTTATTTTGCTCGAATCCTGGCACAAGAAACCCTGGCTCCACTGGGATGAGAAAGACCACAGTCCCGAAGAAACAGCCGGTCTCTACGGCCTCGCCACCTTCTTCTGGCTCAACCCCCTGTTCATAACCGGCTATAAGAAGATCCTGGCTGTATCGGACCTATTCCCGCTGGATAAATACATGTCGGCAGATGCCGTACAGGTCTCTTTCTCCCCAAGAGTCGATCCCGTGAGGCTTCAGGGCCGCAAGCATGGTCTCGCGCGCGAGCTAGCGAGCGACCTCGCTGTCCCTATTCTCCTACCAGTCGCGCCTAGAATTGCTTTGGTCGGTTTGGTCTTCTGCCAACCGTTCCTTATCGAGGCACTGCTAAGACATCTTGACGAGCCGGAGAGCAGGGCATCTGCCAACAAGGGCTATGGGCTGATAGGCGCTACAATTCTTGTCTATACAGGCATCCCGTTGGCTACCGCCTTCTACTGGTACTCCCAAGAGCGCTTCCTCTGTATGGCGCGCGCGTGCTTAACTACAGCGGTATACCGCAAGACGGTTCAGTCCAAGGCCTCGGCTGGGGACGATTCAGCCGCCTTGACACTGATGAGTGCTGATATCGAACGCATCCGCATGGGCTTCATGCAGCTTCACGAGTTCTGGGCCAACCCCATACAGGTCGCCTTGGCCTGCTGGCTGCTTCAACGCCAGCTCGGCGCTGCGTTCGTCGCTCCAATCGTGGTCGTCGCCATCTGCGTTGCCAGCTCCATGGTTTTAATGAAAAACATTGGGCCTCGACAGATGGCCTGGATGCAGGCTATCCAGAAACGGGTCGGCCAGACGACAAACGTCATTGGGAATATGAAGACCCTCAAGATTTCGGGGCTGGCGACGCCGGTCGAAAAGGCGATCCAAGGGCTACGAGTGTCCGAGGTGAAGGCTGGAGGAAGATTCCGAGCCTTCCTCGTCGGCTCTGTGGGCATTGGGTTCACCCCGATTCTCCTCGCTCCCGTTTTCACGCTGGCGGTCACATCTCGAAACTTGGACGTCACAACTATCTTCACCTCCATTTCGTATTTGCTATTGTTGTCCGAGCCATTGACAACCCTATTCCAAATCGCTCCTCAGCTCTTAGCCGCGCTAGCATGCCTGCAGAGAGTACAAGATTTTGTCCAGAAGGAATCCAGGCACGACTTCCGTGACTTTACTAGAATGCTGTCCGAGAAGCCAGGCTCGAGTTCTATAGCCATTGATATCGTCAACGGTAGCTTCGGCTGGGACCAAGGTTCATTTGTCCTCAAAAACATCACTGTCCCGATCCCGGCGGGTTTTACTATGGTTGTTGGCCCGGTCGCCTCCGGGAAATCAACCCTGTGCAAGGCCTTGCTCGGAGAAACGCCAATCGTACAGGGAGAGGTTGTCATGGGCCTCAATCCTCGCTCGGTTGGATACTGTGACCAAATCCCATTCCTCTGGAATGAGTCGATCAAGGACAACATAGTTGGATTTTCAAAGACGCTCGACCAAGAGCGGTATGCGGCTGTCATTGAAGCCACCATGCTTTCACCAGATCTGCTACTCTTTCCACAAGGCGATAAGACAAAGGTCGGAAGCAAAGGCATCAGCCTGAGCGGAGGTCAAAAGCGCCGGATCTCTCTTGCCAGAGCTCTCTACCAACAATGTGACCTGCTCATTGCCGACGACGTACTCAGCGGCCTTGATGCGGACACAGAGGAACAAGTCTTCCACCGGGTGTTCGGAACCGCCGGCTTGCTCAAGGCAAGGGGTACAACTGCTGTGCTTTGCACCCACGCCACTCGCCATCTTCCCTCTGCGGACTACATTATTGCCTTGGCCAGCGACGGGACTCTTCATGGACACGGAACCTTCGGCCACCTCGCGAGAACCAAACCCAGCATTGTCCATGACTATGTTGCTCGGTACGAGCCCAATGAACTGAAGGAGCCATCTGAATCGGTTCAATTGGCCGATGAAGAAACTCCTTCGCCGGCGTCTCGGGTCAGTTCCACCATATCTGCCCCCGAGGAAGCTTCACCTAACCCAACACGCGTCATGGGCGATTCCGCTGTGCTTGGGTACTATTTCCGAAGTATCGGTGCGTTTTGGATGCTCGCCTTTGCCGCATTTGGCGTCATCTGCGGCTTCTTCTACAACTTCCCCACCGTCTGGCTCAAGTTCTGGAGCGAAGACATGTCCTCGGCCAACCCAGCCCGCTCTCAGCCGTTCTACCTCGGCCTCTACGCCCTGTTCCAATGTCTAGCATTGGGCTCTCTGGTCACTGAGGCTGTAATCGGTCTGTTGATAATCATCAGGATTTCCGGAACGACCTTGCATAAGGCGGCACTACGCACTGTCTTTGCGGCCCCTTTGAGATTTTTCACCACAACGGATACAGGGGTTGTCACCAACCTGTTCTCACAAGACATGACGATTATAGATGGGGAGCTGCCGCAGGCTTTGATTAATACCTCGCTACAGACTTGGATAGGGATCGGTACTGCCGCAATTGTTGCGACGTCCTCGCCATACGTCATCGTCGCGTACCCCGTTGTTTTAGGGCTTTTGTATGGCATTCAAAGATTCTACCTCCGCACATCTCGCCAGCTACGTTTGTTGGATCTGGAGGCCAAAAGCCCGCTCTAGTAAGGCCTCTCGATCCTGCTTAGGTGACCAGGCAACTCAATTAACACGTCTTCTAGCACTAACTTTATCGACACTATCGGTGGATTGACAACAATCCGGGCGTTTGGCTGGTCAGAAAACGCTGTTCGCCTGAACAACTCCTTGCTCGATACGTCACAGCGCCCCGCCTACTTGTTGAGCATGATTCAGCGCTGGCTGGCCTTCGTTCTCGGCATGGTGGTTGCCGTGCTGGCGCTTTTCGTCGTCACGCTTTCCACGCAACTACGCTCCAACGCCGGTTTCACTGGCGCCAGCATGGTTTCGCTCATGACATTTGGAAAGACACTCGCGAACCTGGTTCAGATGTACACCATGTTGGAAACCTCCATTGGCGCCGTTAGCCGGATCAAGTCGTTTTGCGACGACACGGCTCGCGAGTGTCTGCAGGGAGAAGACGGGACCATTCCGGCTTCGTGGCCAGAGAATGGTAGGATCGAGATCAAGAGAGTTTCTGCGTCATATAGGCAAGTTCAATCCGGTGTCCTGATGCTGTTTTACACAAAGATTTCTTGGGATAGGAAGTAGACTAATTAGGTCCAAGCAGCCCCCAATCCCCGTCTGAGAATAGCAGTGGCTCAGACTCCAGCCCAAAGATGAAAGATCTTGCGCTCAAGGACCTCACGCTCTCAATTGAGCCGGGTGAAAAAGTGGCACTTTGCGGCCGCACCGGCAGGTAGGTGTCAGCCCTTTCTCACGGGGTGGCCATGTAGCACGTTTGGCTGACTTGGCATCGACATGCAGCGGCAAATCATCGGTTGTGCTTCTCCTTCTACGCCTTCTCGACCCCCTCCCGTCTTGCTCCATCAACATGTCCATCGACGGCAATCCTCTCCACACAATCGACCGCGTCACCCTGCGAGAACGGATCATTGCGGTGCCTCAGGACGCCGTGTTTCTCCCGGATGGGACTTCATTCAAGACGAACTTGGACCCCTTTGGTATTGCCACAAATGAAGAATGCCAAGCCGTTCTCGAGAGCGTGGGTTTGTGGAGCCTGGTGTGCAGTCGAGGCGGCCTTGAGGCTGGCATGAATGAAGACATGCTCAGCCAGGGACAGAAGCAGCTCTTCAGCCTGTCAAGGGCAGTTTTGCGCCGACGCATTCGCCTGAGAATGCTGGCAACGGACTCCTCGACCTCAGGATCCGAGTCTGGAGGGGATGCGCGTTCCATTCCGCGAGGATTGGACGGAGGCGTGCTTATTCTTGATGAATGTACCAGTAATGTCGACAGGGAGACGGAGAAGGTGATGCGGGAGATCATCCGGCACGAGTTCGAGCGTTACACCGTGCTAATGGTGAGCCATCGTCTTGACATGGTCATGGAATTCGACAAGGTGTTCGTCATAGATTCTGGGCTGGTCGTCGAGCAAGGTGTTCCAAGGGAGTTGGTAAAGGTGGAGGACAGTCGATTCAAGCATCTTTGGGCGTTGGGTGGAGGGGAGTAGAATCAACTAAAACGATTTACAGCAGCCTAGCCACCTATTGTTATAGGTATGCTATTTCAATTGATGGCATTGATGCTCTACTGTGACCTCGAGGAAGCAGCATGAGGGGCCAGGAAGCGAAACGTGTTTGCATGAAATCTTTCAACATCTTAGGCAGGTAAGATGCAAACAAATGGAAATCATCGTTCCATGGCTCAAAGAGATGGAATGGAAAACCTGATCAAAGATTTTCCGTATCCTTGTGCTGTGGGTATGCGCAGCTTTCTCACCTACATCGTGTCGGCCAAAGAAAAACAAAAAAGGAAAAGGAAAAAGACGAAAAAAAGAGGAAAGAAAAAAAAAAAAAAGACAGAAAACCAAAAGAGCAGGGAATGGAATAGTCCGATACAACTCGACAACACGCGACGTTGCCTTCCCGTTTTCCTCAGGCCGGTCGGTCTGTCAATTTATAGACCCGACCCGGCGCCGATCTCCACTTTTACCGACGGAACGGGTCCGGCACGCGACATCCGCATACATGGGAGCGGCAGCCGAAACATCACGGGTCTCCCCAGCTCTCGTACAGCAGAGGATACTTTCCGAAGGTTCTTCAAAAGACCTTCCCGCGCACCCACGCACGGTCCGGCCGACAACCCCCCCCCCCCATGCACGCGCCCTTGGGAATGCGTTCCACTCGACGCCGCCAGCCCTAAAGACCCACGCCACAGGTCCACCCCACGCGCTGAACCGCCGCATCCATTCCCTCGCCCGAAAGGCGACCCGGTTGCCCCCACCCCCCACCCTCGGGAACATGGGGCATGGCCTCCGTCGCTTCTTATTCATACGAAGCGGGACCGTGTCTTGCCAAACATTTCGCTCTCATCGCCCAAACCTGAGCTGGCACGGGCGCAGACTCTCCGCTTTTCGTCAGTGGATGGGTGCTTCTGTATTCCTGCCATGTCACTAACAAAATACCAACATTGGAGGTTATGCCTCTGTGACAAAGCGTGTAGGTGCGAAGCGTTGATGTTGCCCCCTTAACTGGTGCCGGAATATTGTGGAATGTCGCGGCATGTTTCCAGTAAATGCACCTGTTACTCAGAACTGATACCCGTTACGGGAAAGCGATACATGTTAAAATGACAAATCTATAATGGACGCTACGAAAAGAATATACCCTATGATCCAAACAAATGTTTTCAAGACCAGGCAAAACCCTACACGAATAAAACCTCGCCATAAACACAGGTCCTCTGGAGACGCTAGCCAAGTTTGATGGGATTCGTGGTACCCCTTGTGGGAGACTCTAACAAAAACCTCAAAATTTACAATAACCTGCTTCGAGGAGCGACAGGCTTAGAAGAAGCCGTTGCTGGGAATCGCGACAAATATGGCGGCAAAGACGCCACCGACAAGCAGGGCACACAGCATGGCCTGCACGAAAATGGTATCCTGGATGGTGCGCAGAGCAGGCTCCTCGATCCAGACCTCGCGGTCAAAGACTTTGCGGACGACGTTGCGCTTCTTGTACTTGATGACCCAGGGTTCAGATTCGAAACTGTTGGCCGATCCGAACGACTCGAACGAGGTCTTCTTGAGGTCGTTCTCGTTTTCCTCATCGACAAACAGCTCCCAAGGGCGGACGTGGCGGTGATGCATGCCGTGCAGAACAACACACATGCCCTTGTAGGCTGCAACCAGTGTGGAGATGCCCAATACCCACCCGATCGCGGCCAGCGCTCTCCAGCCGCGGCCTGCACGGCTGATGGTGACGAGGATGGCGACGACAAAGGCAGCGATGATGAGACCGATACCCAGACCGCGGGCAAAGAAGACACGGGCGGGATTGCCGTTGCAGATCGACCATCGGATAAAGTTGGGGTGTGCTTGCCGACGGAGCGAGTTCTCAATGACCTTGACTGCGAGACGATAAGCACTGGGGTGCGTGGTAAAGGCCAGTGCGTGAAGGGTAGCATCACGGTCCTTGGCCGACAAGTTGAGCTGTCGCGGCGCTCCCTCCATGATATAAGTGGCAATGACGCGATCCATTTCTTCGCGGAACGGTTGAATCGAAACTATTGACAGTCAATATCTTGCCAACAACAGAAAGGGATAGCGGGTAGGAGACGTACAGGGCTGCTTGGCGCCTGCGGCAGTAAAAGCATCACTGGCCTGGGAGCGGTACGAGGCGGCGGTGGAGGCGCCGTGAGAGCCGGTATAGACGGATTCCTGATCGTTGGGAGTTCGGGGTGGGGTGGAAAAAGGGTTAGCAGCATTGGACTCCTCGATGATGGCAGCGGCGGGACCCTTCTTCTCGAAATACGTTCCTTTGAAGATCTCCTGGCCGGGCTTCTTGTGCATTCTCTGCGATTTCTCCTTGGATAGGCGCTGGAGAACTTCGGCCTCCATGGCCTCGGTCCATTCCGGAGCAAGGGCCAGGTCCGAAGTCTTGGCCTCACGGAAGCGATTCTGATACTCGCGGTGCCAGAGGAAGAACTGCAGATTTTCCGCAGAGAACTCAACGTAGATGAGGTAGTTCATGAAATCGCGTACAGTGCATGGCTGATAAGTCAGCGACGAGAACCGATCACGGGAGCTGTCTAATACTTACAGGGCATGTGCCGCCGTTGATGATTTTGTCGAATGTCAGCGACTCGGGGATGCCCGGGATCGTGCCAGCCTTCCCGGAGCGTAATGACAATGAATTTCCGTTATGCTTCTCATCACCGCTGTCGGATACGTCGGAGGAACTTTCGCTGGCAGAGTCGTTGACGTACATCGGTCGGCGGTAGGTGAGAGGTAGGAGACCCATGATGAAGTATGTTGGACGAGTGTTACGACGCCCAGGTGATTCACAGGCTCGGATAAGATGAGAGAGAGAATCAATAGAGTGGAATCAAAGGGACAACTCTAGGTTCTACAGGTTTGGGTAAGAGTTGAGAACGGATGGCAAAAGCGTGGTTTGTTCTTGGGGTAGGTAGTTTTGGTGTCAGGGCCGAGCGATAACGTTGAATAAGGATGGCTGGGGGGAAAGGAGCGGGAAATCAGGGGATGGGGTGTTCGGGCTTGAAGTAAGGTTGGAAGCAAATACACGAGCTACTTCACAGACGAGGCTGGTGCTCGGTCGGTACGAAGGGCAGAAGGACTGAGAACTGAGAGTAGAAGGAGGTAAATGACAGTCAGGCCTGGAACATCGCATCGGGCCGAGGCCGAGGGAGGAGGGAACTGAGGGCTGATATACCAGCCGAGCGGGAGGCAGATTTCTGTATTTGAGTGCCTAGGTACCTTGACAGGCCAGGTTCAGATAGATTAGTACTTGAGTATCGGGTTAGACAACGAGGGTCCACACACACTTGAATGGCGAGACGAGACTGCATGGTTGGACTTTGACCGGCCTCCCACTGACAAACTGATTGACAGTAGCTGAGCCAAGCCAGGGCGCCGGGTGGGGCCTGGAGAGGAAGAGGCGTCCAAGCACGGATTGCTTCTCTAGCGGAATGCGGAAGAAGGAGGAGGAAGACCTAGTGAGGTGTCGTTGTGGTTGCTTCCCGGTCTTGTGGGTGTGATGGTGATATCGAGACACTTGGCGAGGATGGGCAACGACGGAGAAGTGCTAGCGCCGACATGGATAGTATCGGTATGGAGGTGATAAGGAGTTAGTGACCAGTTATGTAGGTAGATATTAGAGTACGAGACATATGCGGGATGCATTGGGGTGTGTGCAATGCTAGTCTAGAGCGCCGGAAAACAAGAAGCAAAGACAGGGCGCGCTGGCTAGTTGCTTCTGAGACAGTGCGCCGTGCAAGACAAGAACATGACTTTCGTGCCTGCCATCATTCCCATCGCCATTGCCGTAAGGTGACAATGGAGGGAAGAATGCGACTACCTGCCTTGCACGAAGAGACTCGGAAAGAGACGATGGATGAAATGCATCGGGCACCTACCTACCTTATCTGGTGTGTCTGTGTACGGCAACCAGCCCCGAGTGCTTGGTCGCGTCCTTTCCGTCCCCATCGTTACTGCCCCACGGGCCAAGTGGCTACTCGCATAGTAGGAAGGAAGGAACGAACGAATGAAGGAAAGACAGGACCAACCCCCCCCCGCAGCGGCAAGATCGTGGCGACTGGACTGGGTGGCTCGGCACTAGCATCTCGAGCTTTCCTCAAGAAGCAAGGGTCGTCTCTTACGGCTAAGACATTCAGCAGCTACCATGTACGTGCTGCTGCACTTGGGTTTCTTGGCGACTGCGTGTGTGTGCGCGACTGCGACCTGTGTCTTGCAAGACGACTTTTGCACGCAAACTCCCACGCCCACGAGAGTTCCATTCGGCATCGCAGAAGATCGGCCAGAACTGTATGGAAAAAACGGTCTACCCTCGACTGCTATCGCCGTGTCTTGGGACCCGGGCCGCCTGTTTAAGGCCGTGTCCGTTCTCCACTTCCCTTTTCCTCATCCTAGAGACTGGAGCTCGTTACCCGCCCTGCCTGCTGGCTTGCTTGCTTTACTCTTTGGACCAAGGCACGGACGGCTCTGACAATCGATGGCTGGCCCTCTCTTTGTTGCGCCTCGCTCCAAATCCGACGGCAATAGACTTGTTGGAGGCGGCATGCCTCAGCCTTCTTCCACTAACTCGCCCAGCGGGTGTGGGTCCTGTAGGTTGTTGCCGACTCCAGAAGGTAGGAGGTACAGAGGCCACTGAGGCCACTTGGACTGTATCGAAAGAAAAGAAACGGCAAGTGAGAGAAATATGCACCGTCTCCTGCTGGGAAACTCCGCTCTGGGCTCGTCCAATCCGAGTTTGGACCAGGAGGAAGCCACTCGTCAAAACAAATAGCGCCCCTGCCAGTGACTAGCGCAGGCGCAAGAGCAGCCGAGAACAGGCTGCGAACAGACAGCCGACGACACAACGACGTTCATGAAAGACTATGACGGTCCCAGCCGGTCGGGTGATGAAAGCACCCAGCAGAGGTACATACCTACCTACAATGTACAAAGCAAGTATCTAACTCGAAGCAGGTACATCGAAGAGATACCAAGGTACCTCAGTGGACACAAAAGGCAAGGGCCACCCACCCACCACCCATTAGGCGGCAGGCACAGATCAGATCTGCCTACCCCTGCATACATGGTCCGTGCTTCTGCACTGAGATCTCATCTCGTCATCCATCGTCCTTTCCCATCCGTCTCGTCCCAAGGCCTCCTCTCATGATGGTTGCACTCACTTTTCTTTCCTAGGTAGGTAGCTAGACTTGGACCTTTTGTGTTTCTTCTTTATTCCCTTCTTTTTCTTTTTGTACACATCTTCTCATCGACAATAACACCTGTACTGTACACAATGCCGAGGCGGCTCTGCATGTCGAATCCCACTGACCGGAACCCCCCTCATTTACGCTTCCAATCAACTCAGCCATCGAAGCCACCGCCCAGATTTGACCTAGACCAGGTCGGTAGGTCGGCCACCGAATCAGCGACCTGGATTCATCTGCCTTTGGGCTTGCTAGCATGGCTGGCTGTGCTCGTTCAAGCCAGCCTTTGTTCCATGGATGCAAGATCTCGAGTCCATCTTGCTCTCGATAGCACGTCGGTCTGTGCTGACTCGATTGAGCTAGGGATCCGACGCAGGCCACGTTAGATAGCTCAACAAAGACCACATCTTGCGCCAAGCGGGTTAAATCTCGATAATCTCCCAGCTACTCGGCACCCTCCACTGGCCAAGGAGCTGAAAGGACCCTAGCGCAAATCATTGTTTTCACTGGGTCGCTTTTCTTGATATATCGCCGATTGTGACCCTACCCACGACCCGAGAGGGGAGGGATCGCCGGGAGCATTCCATTCTCACAATGTCCTGCATTGACTCACCCGTCACCACAATTGTGAAGGTCATGGATCCCGGCGGCTGCTCTTGATGCGGGTTGTAAGACAGCAATTCTGAACCCGAGGCGATCCAGCGTTGCTAGACCAAACCATGACTGGATTCCCCGTCTGGAAGTGTACAAGGGAGCACCCATCTGCTAGCAACAATGACCTCGACGCATGGCAAGCTAGTCTCAGATACCCAGAGTTCAGCGACAGCCGCCACTCGAACCGTTGGTCCCCGTTTGGTTATCTCAGTCTTACGCAGGGGACTGCTGACCTGCCCCGACCAGGGCCGCCATTTCTCAGTAGCGGCGGCGACCGGCTGCTGTCAAAATCCCACCCAGCTTGGGTAAACATTCCCATCAACCGCCGCCTCGGTTCAAGTTAATTGCTAGCATTTCCTCTTGTCACTTTCTTTCCGAGATCGGTTTCCGTCAAAGCACCGTCGCAGGTCACATGGCTTCTCTCAAGCAGGCAAGCTGGATCGCCGGCCTTTTTGCATATTTACTGCCTCGTGGAAGCCTGGGTCGTCCATGTGGGCGTGATGGGAGCCGAAATTGTGGAAAGACTGCAGCCAGTAATTTGTTTTGCCCGTCTGAGACGGCTGGTGGCAAAGACCAGATGCCTGGCACATGGTTATACAAGGGCGATTCCTCAGCAACCTCACCCTCGCCTGCGAGACACACTTCCTTTTGACAAAATCCCCATGTGACAGTCTTTCCAGAAGACAACGGCGAGCTATCTTTTCTTCAAATTGATAGTTTCAAGACATTGACCCCTTGCATCCGTACCGCGAAATGAGCACCCCACGCTGCCACAGTGCGCTAGTCGGTAGCGAGCAATTCGATCATCACATCCGCTTACGAGCGGCTACGGCGGTACCAGCCACTATTCAGGCTCACTACACTCACTACCAGTGCTGCTCGGTGATGGCAACGGTGTTGACGTCCACACCATCGCGGAACCACCTCTGCGTCTCGTCGATCTTGACATCGTTTCCGCTCATCTGCCTCTTACGCATCAAGCCGTTCTCGGCAAAGGTCCAGTCCTCGAGGCCATATGTCCGCCACCACTGGCCCGACTCGTCGTGCCACTCGTACCAGAACTGGACGGCAATCTAACTGACGGTTCAGCCGTGCTCTCAGACGCGCAGTCATTCATACTTGTTTGGGAGAGGAAAAGAGAAGGGGGTATGCGTTACGCACCTTGTTGTCGGTGAAGGCGAACAGCTCCTTGCGGAGTCGATAGCCGTCCTCCTTCTCCCACTTCTTGGCCAGCCACTGCTCGATCTGGTCACGGCCTTGGAGGAACGTGTCCCTGTTCCGCCAGATGGAGTCGACAGTGTATGCCATCTTCACCTTAGCGGGGTTTCTGTGGGGCGAGGGTCAGTCTGGCGTGTCCGATTCACGCGGAGAAGGAGGAGGGGGCAGCTTACTTGGTGTTCCAGGCGTCTTGCGCCGCCTTCACCTTGACCTGCGCCGTTTCTTCGGTGAAGGGCGGGAAGGGTGGTCTGGGCTCTTCTTGACTACTCATGATTGAGGATACAATGATGCAAGGAACTTGGTCTCCACGAGATCATATTGTTACAATGGCAATGGGTGTAGTTATAAAGGACAACGCAACGATGCCGTCAGAAGGGAGGAAAGATGCTGCAGCCAATCACATGCCAGCATGACATATCCCCCCTCCCCCGGGATTTCGGGGTCTGTCAGCGGCGGCGTTGAGGCTGAAACGATTGACAAACACCGTTCGGGTTTTGATGAATGGCTCCGCGCACCGTCGGCCGGAGAGCAGGCGTTCGGAGCCCGAGGTCTCTGGACAAAACAGAAGCTTGATGCGAGCATCACGAGCGCTTAACACACGATGACAGTGTACTCAATGCTTCGGCCGATATCTTTGGGCTGAGTTTGTACCCCCCCTCTACCGGGCCGGTCGACCATCCCGAACCATGCCCGCCACGATGACAAACCCGGCTTCCCGATTGCGTACTCAAACCAAGGCGCAGGCGCCTTGGCACCAGCAGCAAACATATCTCCGAAGGACGTTGGCTGATGGCCGACGGGCTGGATGCTCGGACGGCCGAGTAGGGCTCCACGTTCGCCCCACCAAGGGGAGTAGAGAGGAGGGAGGCGAGGCGAGGCGAGGCGAGGCGAGGCGAGGAAGGGGAAGGCACTGGAAGGGCCGGGGACCGGAGGTCCCAACCGGACGCGGCATACACTCCCCGTCTTGCGTCATGTCGAGAAACGAGCGGTGGGCCGCAAGGGTTGCGCCCGCCGCCCACTTCTTTCTTTAGTCACAGACTTGGACGTGAAGATCTGAGTCGAGGCGGGAGACGACGGGGAGAGGGGCGAGCAAGGCAAAGCAGGAAGGGGAAAGGAGAGAGGGCACAAAAGAAATAGCATTCCCGGGGCCGAAGCTTCGCCGCCCGTCCCGCGAGGGGGGAGGAAGGGGAGGGTGAGGTGGTATCCGTTTCTACTATCTCCTGAGGCTCCTCTCAAGTTATACAAATCATCACCAAAAAAAGATCCACTTCCCTGGAAGCTCGCAGAATCGGCTCGGGCCCTGACTCGGCGATCGCTCGACGACAACCCGCACGCAGGTACTATAATTCGAGCGCCCGTCCCTCTCTCTGGCCCTGGTTTGAGAACCTACTTTTCCCATAACCAACAAACAACGAAGAACAGTCTCAACGAGCTCTTCAACCATTATCTTTTTCTCAACTTCCCAAGCCAAACCCAACTACCCTCCCCCCAATAAAAAATGTCTGGTCTCAAGGTCGGCGAGCCGTTCCCCGAGAACGTCTCTTTCCAGTACATCCCCTACCAGGAGGAGACGGCCGACTTCAAGGTCTGCGGTATCCCCGTCAAGTACGAGACCTCCAAGGGTAAGTCGTCGTCGTCGTCGTCGTCGTCGTCGCCTCTCAAGCATCATCGCGGTCGAGCAACTCGTGCTAACGTCTTCTTTTTCTTCCCCCCCGCGCAGAGTTCAAGGACAAGAAGGCCGTCATCGTCTCCATCCCCGGCGCCTTCACTCCCACCTGCTCCGCCTCCCACCTGCCCGGCTACATTGAGCACAAGGACGAGCTCAAGGCCAAGGGCGTCGACCAGGTCATCTTCCTCGCCTACAACGACCCCTTCGTCATGTCCGGCTGGGGCAAGGCCAACAACATCAAGGACGACTTCATTGTACGTTTTTTTTTTTCCTTCTTCTTTCTCTCCCTATTTTTCCTAACCCCTCCCTCCCCGTCATACGTGTTCGCACAGCTGGCCCCTCCTCTATCCCGTGGAGCTCTCAGATGGTTTTGTCCCTCAGCTCTGCCCCTCCACCTCTCACCGACTCCCGATAACCACGCTCCCCCACCACACCCCCCACTCTGCCCCTCCTTCCACTCAGCATTGAAGCATGATACCACAATGTCCTGCGCCCACCCTATTCCCCCCCTCCTCTTTTGTCACGCAATATCCCAATTGCAACGGTGTCTTCTCATCACGGCAAAAAGAGAAAACAAAACAAGAAAAGAAAACCGGAGGAACGGTGGCTAACCTACGCGCCCCCCTTAGATCTTCGCTTCCGACCCCAACGCCGAGTTCTCCACCTCCATCGGCTGGAACCACGGCGAGCGCACCGCCCGCTACGCCGTCGTCATCGACCACGGCAAGGTCATCTACGCCCAGAAGGAGTCGGAGCTCCAGGGTCTCGAGGTCTCCGGCGCCGAGCCCGTCCTCAAGGCTCTGTAAACAAACAAAAAAGAAGGGAGTTTTCCATCAGGAAGAGAGACACCCCCCCTTTTTTTGCTCTTTTTTTACAACGTAAACGCCGTCGAGAAATGCAGTTATGAGAGATGCCATAAACAACATACACATAGAACACTAGAGAAGATGAAGGAGCAAAGGGGATATAGAGTGCGCTTTTAGACAAAAGTACCCTTCAATTCCAACCCCCCGCCTCCCATATATACCTTGGACGGATTCGTCCAACTCTACGGAGTACCTGCTATATAGAAATCTTTTTAGAGCAAATGAAATAAATGGGTTTTCCGTTATGAAACACCCCCATGCTGGAAAGTCTCCGAGGTTTCCTGTTCTCTTTGCGCTCTGCGTCGTGTCTCATGTCGGGTTTGTTTTATATAGACTGGGAGATAAGATCCTGTAATGCTGAACTGGGCAATGAGTGGAGAGTGGCCCGGGATGAGGGAATTCCTCCAAGTCGAATGTACCGATGCCGACTTGGCTGGGCGGAGGGGGGTTGTCCTGTCAGCAGTGTCGGAGAGAGAGAGATAGTGGTGACTTCAAGTCTCGCCCTTCTCGCGGCTAGGAGGACACGGATTACGCGGGGAAGTGGCGAGAGATTGGGATCGAGGGAGACATCATTCCGAAGCGCGTGGGGATGACGGGGACGAAGGGGGAGGGGCGGGCTGTTTTGCGGTCTTCGCTCAGAGACACAATCGCACAGTTACCAGCCGCCTCGAACACGAAACCTCGGTCCTCCCAGGCTTCGAGAGACAACCGGCAATCACTGATGGTCATCATAGTCATCAACGTCCACGCTGGCCCCAGTCACAGTTGGTCGACACACCCCAGACAGTTAACTTGGTAATCCCGTGGGACAATCCATGCATTCCGTGCTACCGTGATTGTGTAGTTATAGAACCAGCCGTCAAAGCACAAAGAACCCTCGACTCCAAATAGTTGAACCTGGTCGTATTGTCCCATCTTGATCAAAAGGTTCACCTTGCGGTCCTCCCCACCAGCCAGCCGCGGACCCGTGTGGCCCGAGGCCATTGCTGCACTTTCGCCACGCCCAAAATGCCCATGCCGAAATTTTTTAACGTCTTTTTTCCTGCTCCAGTCACTTTCAAAAGGATTTCCCTCCCATCAAAAGGGGCCGAAGAGTGCTCTTAACGGGTCCGGGCCTGGACCTTGGGGGCGGCGCCCTTGGAGCCCTGCTTGCTGGTGATGGGGGCCTTCTTGCCACCGGCGGCGGCGGCCTTGGCCTTCTCGGCCTTCTTGGCGGCCGCGGCGGCGGTCTTCTTCTCCTTGGACTCCTTGATGGCGGCCGCGCGGGCGGCGGAGCGGGCCTCGGGGCGGAGGTTGCGCTTCTCCTTGATCACATCGAGCGAGGCACCAACGATGGCACGCTGGGACTTGACGGTGCGGCGAGTGCGCTTCTTGGCGACCTCCTGCGGTGGGGGTCAGCCATCTGTTTTCATGGCGAGCATCTGCGTGCGAGGCGGAGACTAGAGCTTGAAAAGCAACCCAGGTTTGCAGCCAAGTCTCGCCGTCCGGCTCGCGCGGAATGGGGGACGGGGTGATTCAAAACGCACCTCAGAGATACCCTTGCGGTGCTGGCGACGGTACAGGACGGTCCAGGCGATGCGGCGAGGGTTCTTGCGCTGGAGGAAGAGGGACTCGGACTTTCCGTTCTGGAAGCGGAAGATCTTGCTGTCACCACGGACGTAGAGCTTACCCTGTAGTTCAGAGTCTCGTCAGCGCATGTCCTTCATCTCACGTCCGTTGCCTCGCCGTGCTCTCTCCGTGCAAGTCATTCCCTTCTCATCGATCGTGAAGCCAATCAACCATGCTCTTTCGTTCCATAACCGAGTCGTTTTGCCCACATGCACCCCTTCTGTCCATCTAGGAGACCTGGCCTCCCGCTTGCCCAGCAGCTCCAAAGTAGCTCCTTCGATCGATGGGAGAGATGATACCGGAGAGGTTGGGGAGGAGATCTGTTCATCGTACCTTGCCAGGGTAGATTCTCTGGCCCGAGAACGTGTCGTCGTACGTGCGCATCTTGAAGAAAGCTGTCAGAACCGGTCCAAAAAAAAAAATTGCACTCAGTTGTTCGCCCCCTCGACCCGGTGCACTCGTCAAGCCAAAGCGGTAGAAACGTCGAGAAGCAAAAGTCGCGAATGTCGATCGGGAGTAGTTGGCGAAATGGCTAGACGAGCGGACCGGGGGTTGGGCTCCAACGAGACTCGAAAAAACGAGGGCAGGGAAGCTATTGCACGTACATTGGCGGTGTTGAATGCGAACGTTTGCTGACTTGTCGGTGATGTGGTCGAAGGGTTCGGGGGGAAGGGGGGAGGGTGAACGACGGCGCACTTTCGCGAGATTCTCAATTTTCGACACTGGAGGGCGGGCGCAGGAAGGTGTGGCTCCGGGAGGGAAAGTGTGCCCTGGCCCCACAGTAGCGCCTTCGCTTAACCGAGCGCGTCACGTGGACGGCGACGACCACCAGCCAGGCAGCGTTTCCGTCTGGTGTGTCAGGGAAATGTGGCTGGTGCCTCTTGCCCTCGGCGTAGTGGGGGAGATGATGCCCTGTGGCGCAGCCGCCCTCAGCCCTCCAGCGCAATGACGCTCTCTGAGCGAGTCCATTTGGCCCCACTATCTCGGGTCTGGCTGAATGCTCCGGGGCGTGAACTCCGGGTGTGGGAAATGCCAACGCTAAAGTCGGGATGACCAGCTGGCTGAGGGCAACGAGGCCTTTGAGAGACAGACTGCGGCTGCAAATGACGGCCGACCCCGATCAGATTGCCGACGTGGTCCTGCGGCAGTTCCAGAAGCTACCGGCCAAGCGCAGGCCCCAGGTCAGAGACAACGGGCTGCACGAATGGGTTCCCCTGAGCGGCATTGTTGCTGAGAAGGACGGCGTCTTGACATGTCTTTCACTCGCGTAAGTTTTTGCAAATGGTGATGGTTTGTAAGAATTAAAAAGACCCGTGGTTACTGTTTTAAGTTGTCAAGCTCGTCAAAATGCTCTCATGCATATTTTTCTCATCGTGATTAAATAGTACGCATTTATATCATGAATATATAGCAACATAAAATCCCACCACATTTACACCCCGTCACCTGGTCATGAAACGCAGGCTAATAGTCTTACAGGACGGGCATGAAATGCCTCCCCGCCAGCAAGCTTTCTTTAGCCAAAGGCAACGCACTCCACGACTGGCACGCCGAGGTCCTCGCTATCCGCGCCTTCAACCGCTGGCTGCTAGACGAGTGCAGCAGCCACCTGCAAGGTACCGCCTCGGAATTCATCAGGAGGCGGGAGGCCTCGGAGGTATCCAACGACTCACCCCAGCCGTTCGCTGTCAAGGACGGCGTCAAGCTGCATATGTACTGCTCCGAAGCTCCCTGCGGTGATGCAAGCATGGAGCTCACCATGGCGGCACAAGACGACGCCTCCCCTTGGGAAGTGCCCCCAGCGCCGACGCCGACGCCGACGCTGAACGCCACCTCCGGCCCCGAGACCGCCGTCACGGCATCCGACGTCGGGTCCCTCCCCGGACGGGCCTACTTCTCCCAGCTCGGCGTCGTCCGCCGCAAGCCGGCCCGCGGCGACGCGCCCCCGACCATGTCCAAGTCCTGCTCCGACAAGCTCGCCCTCAAGCAGTGCACCTCGCTGCTCTCCTCTCTGGCGGTGCTGCTCGTCCACCCGGGCAACGCCTACATCTCGGCCCTGGTGCTGCCGGACTCGCAGCGCTCCGTCGAGGGGTGCGAGAGGGCCTTCTCGGCGCGGGGCCGCATGAGGGCGCTGGCGGGCCGGCGGTGGCAGGGCGGCTACCGGTTCTCCCCCTTCGAGGTAGCGACGACGGCGCGCGAGTTTGGATTCTCCCGGAGGACCGTCGGGGCGCGAGCCGAGAGGGTGGCGGCGAGCAACCTGGCAGCGGCGTCGACCGCCAGCGGCGTCGACGAGGGGACGATGGGGGGCGTCTTGCAGGGGCGGAAGGCTTTTGATGCCAAGGGGGCGAGCGCCGTCTCCAGGAGGAGGATGTGGGAGCTGGCGGCCGCGCTTGCTGGGAGCTTGGGACCCGACGGGGAGGCGTTGCGGCGCGCTGTCGAGGTGGATACATATGCCCAAGTGAAAGGAGGAGACCTCCTGGCGGACAGGCGTGAGGTCAAGGAGAGCGCCAGGAAAGAGGGTTTGGCGGGGTGGGTTGTGAACGTTGGCGACGATAACTTTTCCCGTCCGTAATGCACGCCCAGGTTTTCTCGTGTCTTGCCGACGGGACTCGTCCAGAGCAGCTCACAATCCGACAGTCATCTTATCACACCACCGTCACGCCATCACATGCCATGGGTCCTCACTGTCAACGTTATTCCACGTTGTTCCACGGTTTTTGCATTGTTCATTATGCAGAGACTCGTCGTCGGATGGGGGAATATGAACGTGAACCTCATTGTTCTCCCAGAGCATGTAGTCTGTAAACCCTCATGGGATCCGTTTTTCGCGTGTGTCCGGCTGGGGGGTAAAAAAAAAAGAACCAGGCAAAAAGGCCGTTCGTGTCGATCATTGCGTTTTGGAATGAAAGTTTACTCTTTTTTTCCCTTCCCATTCCTTAATCCAGACGCTTCAGATGATATATCCACGGGGACCCGGCACAACGCGATCAAACTCCCAACCAAAGCAAAAATGGAAGAAGAACCGTTGGGGGGCGGCTTTCCCTTAATTGACCTCTTTCATATTGGATTCGCTCTACTCGACCTTGCTCTCGAAGTTCTCACCCTCGACGAGGTCGGGGATGTCGTCCTCCTCGCCGTCCTTGCCCTCCTTCTGCATGTTCTGGTAGCTCTCGGCGAGCTTGCGGAGAGAGGCGAGGGAGTCGGGGCCGAGCTGGTTGAGGATGCCGGGGACAAGCTCGGTGAGCTCCTTGTCCTCACCGTGGCCGTAGATGGCGAAGGTGTTGGCGGGGACGGCGGCGTGAACTACGGTGGGTTTGTCATCTTAGCAAAGGCCCATCTGGGGTGTTTGAGAGAACAGAGCTTCCTCGACGAGGCGAGCCCAGAGAGGAAAGGGAGGTCATTACCCTTGGGAGCGGCGAAGTGGATGACGTTGCCGTCAGACTTGAACATGTTGACCTCCTCGATGGCCTGGATGGGCTGAACGTTGAGCTTCTTCAGGGCGGCCTGGAGCTTCTTGTCGTCGGCGGCGGAGCGCGCGGGCGCACGCTTCATCTTTCTGCGGGGAGTACCCTTTCCGCTATCGTCGGGCGAAGAATCGGAACGTTAGTCATTGTAAACTGCAACATCAATTGTGCGACGGGTGGCTTGTGGGTTCTATTTTCTCTTTCTTTTTCGTCGGTTCGGCGAGGGAGGAAAATGGGATGGAGGGTAGGTGAGGGGTCATTTCTTCGGAGGTCACACATACCCTGCGCGGCAAATAAGTCAGTCAACCTCATTTTCAATCGACCAACCCCCCCCCCCAAAAATCAATGGCGAAAAGCAGATTGGAGAAAAAAACATACCGATACGCGCCGAGGCGCCGAGCTTCTTAAGGCGTTCCTGAACGTCCGACATGATGGGCAGATGCTCGAACTTTTGACGGTTTGAGGGGGAGGGGGAGGAACGTGTTGGTTTTGCGGGTGGGGGAAGAGTAAGAAGGAGCTGTGCTGTGCGAGGCCAGGGCAATTAGCAAAAATTGTTGGAGGTGGGAAAAACCCGGGCGGGCAGCCACCGACCGACCCCCCCTCCTTCTCTGGCGAGCCGACAAAGGGTTTCCCGTCCGGCGCCCCGGCGCGGCGGAGCAAAAGAAGCAGCTTACCGTAATTCGTTCGTCTCGTCACGTCCCGTATTGCTCTCAGTATCGTAAGGCTGAGCCGCTTCCTGAGCTTTGGGCGAGCAACCTGATGATGGAGGTTTTGTGCGTGCCAAGACTTTCCTCGCTTGCGGAAATAGTATGTGCCGGGGGAGGTACGTATCTGCTTTTTTCTTGGGTTGGGAGGGGGGAAGGGCGCTTCACCGAAGGCACACCGAATAAATGGGGACCGTGGCAGCGAACTTTTAGCTTTCCATCTGTGGAGGGGATCAACAAACGTATCCCGCCGCGGACGAGATGCAGTGCTAGTCGATTGGTGAGAGTCGAGTTTGAGATTTGATCTTCTGTTCCCAACACATGGCATATTTCATGATGCAGCCCGACCGACCCGCCAAGGCGCCATTCGTGAGCCTTTGAGGGTTGGCTCTGTGGAGTTCAGAGGTTGTCATGGTATCTCTTGTTGTTGTACAGCCGTCCGCGGCATATCCCCAATCCCTAAGCCCATCACGTATAGTACAGTCTGTGGACAAGAGGCAGCGCTTCAGTCCAGATCATTCGAAAGCCCCGACTCTCTTCTCATCGTGTCTTGCTGGGCCTTCAGCTCGGCTTCCCTTCTCCTTTGCTCTTCGGCCCGCGCCAACCTCTGTCTCTCGATATCCTCGTCCCGTACTACCCAAACTGCGACCCGTTAGCTGAAGCCAATATACGAACAGGAAAGGCGATAACGCACTCGGCTTGTCCGACTTTGAGTACTCCTTCAACTTCGTGACAAACTGGTCAAACTCGGCCTGCGTCTTCTCGCGGTTGGCCAGGCTTCTCGCCTGCAGCTCGGGGTTGTATCTCTTGAACAGCTCCTCCTCCGTCGGCGATACCCACATGGTGAAGGCCGGGCCGCCAACGCAAATGGCTCCTCCGCTAAAAGGATTCGTCAGTTCTGCTATTCGCAGCGGCTTTCTTTTGGGCGGAGGTTTCTTGACGTACCCGAGCATCATCTTCCCCCACAGTTTCCAGTTCGTAGCCTTCTTTGCCATTGTGCCTGATGTTCGTGGAATGTAGCGGCGGCCGGGGTGCGGTGGTTCGACAAAGCTCCAGAGTTAGCGTCTGGACTTTGGGCTTTTGCGACGAAGAGGCAATCCTCTTCCAGTCGATGACGAACCTGACGCGCTTGATTGGAGATCAACCACCAGCTCCATCCCGTTTGGGCAGGCGGTGAATACCTGCCTTACTTACCTAAGCAAGAAATGTGGCTGGTTGGTGCATGTCGAGAATTGTGGCTTGTGCTTTTGCAAGTGATGTCTCGGTTGGTACACGGCATACATGATACATACCAGCAATTACCCAAATGAGTTCAGTGCATCTATATGTTAAGCCACATAAGCAACAGCATAAACCGACCAGGAGACCAAGATGCCTTCCCTCTCCATGCAGCAACGCGACCAGAGCCTGCTCCCAGTCTAGCGCACCATGCTCTCCCAGTTCATAATCTAGCAGTAGTACGGAGTACTCCGTACATGCAAGAGAGAGCAGGTTCGTGGCGCAGTAGGGCAACCTGTGTGGTCAGCCAGTCTGGGGCTGTGGTCCGGTCCAACAATAATCATTTGGTGGTTGGTATCGTGTCAAATCACTCGCCGGCAGGCGGCGCTCCGGATCGACAAGATGAAGAAACAAACCGACACGCCAGCGTCCAGAGCTGCAGGAACGCAAAACGCTATCTGAAGTGCCGCCCCCAATGGCGAGTCGAAGTCGAGCGCCGGCCCCCGCGATTTGCGGCACGACACGACATTGCTGGGAACAAGGACACGAAAGCGGGCAGCCTGCCGCCAAGCCCAACGCATGTGCCATTGGTTCTTGTCACTCAACTTTACGTGGCCCAGCATTGTCGCCCCTTTCGTTTTGTCCGTTTATGTCTGTTTGCCCCCCCACCTACGGCCGTTGTCTGATGTCTGGTGGGTGTCTGACGTCTGCTACCATGACAACACCGAAAACTTGGCTATGGGGGGGGACCGTTACAACTTACAGCGCTTGATTGCCTGTCCAGTCGGCGAGTGGCTTCATGAACCGAACTGAAGTGTCTGAAGCCCTGGGACTGACCCCTGCGGGCAAGATAGTTTGCGGCTGACGACTGGAGCATCCACTGCCATTTCCTTGGCCGTACGTCGACCGGGCCGAAAGGCTCTCCCATTCGACATTGGGGGTTCCACCCCGGGCATCGGGCAAGGAGTGGAGTGAGGCAAGCAGGAGGCGAACCCTCATGACACCGTCGTTACGCGATGCGATAGGGTACTAGTGTCGAGGCCTCCTGAGGATGGTTCAAGGGCTGATTGACGAATGACGCGGCTGCGAAGACATCCGGCTACCAGGACATCCATCTCTGCTCCCCCCCTGTAGAGGAAAAAAATAGTATTTACTAAACTACACTCATGACTTGCCTTCGAGATGAGAGTGCATTTCGACGAGTCATCATCGCCAGGCCCGCCCGCGAGGATGAGCAGGATGAGGAGAAGAAGGAACAGGGCTATCGGCGGTGCTTCGGGGTGGCTGCGTTAACAGGCATTTGGTGCCCAGGGAGGGGGGGATTCCGCAACCATTTCAAGCAGCAGCAACGCTCCGAGCAGCAGGGTGGAAGACGACGGGAAGCCGGGAAGATGAGACGAAATGCGCACAGAGGCCGCTATGAAACCTGATAGCGCGTGGCCGATGGGGACGTGTGCACTAGGCACCTTACAATAGGTAGCACATTAGGTAGTAGTGGTCGCACCTCCAAGAAGTCTTGGCTCTTCTCTACAAGGTTTAACCAACACTCATTGACTCTTACGTCTGGACTGACATCCGATGATATTCCCATGCACGTTCTGCTCCAAGGGTCAAGAGGAATCTGATGGCTACTGGTAAACCTTTCCAGACCCTTACAACTTCGGCATGTGTCATCCATACTGGAAGCCCCCTCCTCCTCTCGAGACCAGAACCTAGGGTACCGGACATTCGAAAGGGGGAGCTGACGGGTCCAATCAAGGTTGCCACCAGGGGGAGGGAACCCTGACATGGCGCTCTACGTATCATGTAGTACAGAGTAGTTGCACCCTGGAGGGAGAAGGGGAAGAGCATTGAGAACGCATTGCAGCATCGCTCGTTGGGCGGGTTACCGGTATTTTCACGGCCCACCCGCCACCACCGCCACAATACACCCAAATAACACATTCCATCACCCTAACATAACCAACTAACCCAGACCCTAACCCAGACCCTGACCACTAACCCTACGCATCTTTTATATATACTTTTAAAGATGCTTAGGGTTAGTGGTTAGGATGGTTAGGGTCTGGGTTAGGGTTTGGGTTAGTTGGTTATGTTAGGGTGATGGAATGGAATACCTACAGTATTCCCGACGGGACTAACTAGAATCGAAAAGAGACTAGCCTAGATGGGCTTAGAGGGCCGTGAAAGTACCAAAAGGGGCCCGTGAAAATACCTGTAACCGTTGGGCGTGGTCCTTGGGGTCGATCCTTGTGCCTTAACAGGTCGGATTAACGACCTGTTCGGGGGGGAGGAGTCAGAACCATTACAGGCGGGATGCTTGTTTACTCCTTGCCTACGGAGTACAAGGGCACGGCATTACACTACGTTTTTTTCGTCTGTGTGGGTGGGAAGCAAAGCCAAAGAAGGGCGGCAGCCATCGGTCGGAGCGTCCCCCAATAGAGGCTCAGATGTCTCTGGGCTGAACGGATGAGGAAAGTTTGGGGTGCATCGGTCCAGCTGAAGATAGCCAATCTGGGACAGTCGGAACCCCGCATAGAGGTGATCGTGGTCGATTGGGCCCGATTCTCACTGTCTCTTCCATTTCTGGCATAAAGGGAGAGAGAGAGAGAGAGAGAGAGAGAGAGAGAGAGAGAGAGAGAGAGAGACAGGAGAGGTGATCCTCTTCGCGGTGGAGACGGACGCGCCGCGGGAGCGTGGAACCCATGTACCCGTAGCCATGACCTCAGTTCCAAGTTGCGGCGCTGGGAGGACCCTCGTTCCAGCTCTCGGACGAACCTCTGCCTTTTTCGGAGAGCATTCTTTTGGGACATTGTCGAAGCTGTTCAGCTAATTTATGTTGGGACGTATACCGCACGATGGAGTGTTATAGCTCGCCCCAGAGCACAGGCAAGGCTTGGCCTAGCACACCCAGCATTGGCTTGCCAGGAAGCAGTTCTGTTCAGCCGCGCTTATATAGTACACTTGGGCATTGCTACGGGCGGGGACGGTGGCGGTGGTGTTTCCTCAATGCGGCCGGCGCCTACTATGTATGTACTGCGTCCGAAGCACAGATGTGCGGCGGTATAGGTAGTCGATGGATGGAGGCGGGGCCCTCCGCAGGGCACTAGGTACCAAAGTAACTCTCGAGCTAGAGGCGGCAGTGCGCGTACCTTGCCTTAGTGAGGTACCATATCGCGTGATTTGGGCTGGCGGCAGTGCAATGTGACGGAGTGGCGTGGTATCGCGTGGGTTTGTAGCGACGCTGCGGGATGAAGGTAATCTCGGGTCGTCAATGGCATGACCGACGGGATCCCCTGAGGTCGTTGAAGACGCAGAGCGACTGCGAGAGAACGGAGAGTCAGAACAGAGAGAGACACGATGAGAGAGCTGAGACAGTAACAGGAGTAGCATCAGACGGGTGAGGGAAGGAAAAATTAAACAGCGAATAAGAGGAAAAGGGAACACAAATGCCGGCGGTGGTTATCCAGCTGGGCAACTCGGCATGAACATACCCGTACGAGCGTGCGAGATGAACGGAACAGGCTCCCGGGTAATAATAGCACCACCCTATCGACGAAGACATACACAACATAGACGAGGAGGAGGACAATGGGACAACCGGTGGCTCGGGAACAGCAACAATGTCCAGGACGGTGAGGGACACGGCCATTGCCGGCGGCTTCAAACACGGGACTGTCGTCCACGCCGGTCGGGTAAGTAGTGCACGATACTCTGAACGGCGGTTACATAGCAATCCTGATTTATTTTTAATCCTTCTTTGGTTTGTTTATTTCATCTTTTGGCTTGTTTCGTCTAGCTCTGGCTCTGGCGACCTTAAGTTGCGGCTCACCAAACGCATCGATCATTATCAGCAACTCACGGACACGTCACATTCGGTCAATAGAAATTACAGCCAGTCGTTGATGGTGTGCAGTTCTTCATAGATGCAAACCAGGAGACATATCCGTACTCGGTCAAAGTACCCATACCTGCATGCATTACGTGCAGCATCGCCCGCCACAGCGGTTGCTATTTTGCAACGGGCCGGGTCTGGTAGACCGAGACACACACCGCCAGGCCCATTGTTGTTCTCCCTTCATCGTCCTCGTCCTGGGTTCCTCTATATCCAGGGGGGGCAGCCAAAGTACCTTGGCTTCGAGGCACAGGTGACTTGCTCTCCACGACTCTGTATCCCATGTACCTTGCAGGGCGCAAAAAGGTACATAAGGTACATTGGCACCCCCCAAGGTAAAGGTACATGTACAGAGCCCAGTCAGCCCAAGTCCCCTACTGACTGTCTTGTCCACTGCTGTGCGACACACACCCACACAAGCCCCCGGCCATCCATCCCGTACCTTCTACGGATACTACGTACCGGTATTCAATTCAACTCAAACCTGCAGGTGCACCCGCCCTCCGCCTCCTTCCCGTTGCCCCGGCCTGCTCTTTTCATTCCCACACGCACACAACTCATACTCACCACTCATTCACTCGCTCATCCACGTACACCAAACTCATACTCTGTCCACACACATCAACACAACATAACACAACACGACAATACACAGCAGCAGCAGCAGCAGCAGCAGCAGCAGCAGCAGACGCACTCCCCTTCATCTGCTCCATTCAGTTCACCCTTTTACATGTGGACACGTGCATGAGCCAGACCTCATCCTTGCCCTTCATTATCTCTCTCTCTCTCTCTCTCTCTCTCTCTCTCCCCCTCTCTCTCTCCCTCCTCCTCCTCCTCCTCCTCCTCCTCCTCCACTCCTTGAAGACCAACGGCCATACTTCT